CCGCACCTCAGCAGCTTTTTCCCGGCACCAAGAGCGATTTGCTATCAATGAAAACTGCTGCTGTAAATAACATCCACCCAGAACATCTCAGAGCACACTCACCCCGAGGGTATGCAGGATACGGACTCCCTGGGGATGCTGCAAGAGCGGGGAGCTCCCCGCCCTCAGGAAGGATGTTCTGGATGGGAACAGGGGGCAGAGGTCTGCCTGTGTGTGCCTTGGCACATCCCAGAGCTGGAATTCTTTCTGATAATGGCCGTGTTCTTTCACCACAGCCAAATTTTGCTGCCTTTATAAAGGAGCTGTGTTTGCCAGGATGGCAAACGTGGTGGGTTTGCACAGGGGGCAGCAAGAACCAGGTCAGGGCTTTCCCTGCCACCCTCATTCCCACTGGTGAAGGAAATCTCTGCATGGCATTGGCTGCCCAAGCCATGTGCCCAGCAGGCACACAGAGCTGCCCAGCAGAGTAGGGGGACAAAAGGACAATGCTCCCCTCAGGAGCTTGCTTTGGGATGGCTGGCATGGCTCCCAACCCCACATTGGTTCCTGATCCTCAGGGAAGCAGAGCAGTGCTCTGGAGCCTTGGGAGCACAGTCAGCCCAGTGCAAACACAGCAGCTTGGGCCATCAATTATCCCCAGTTAGGAAGTTTGGCTGACCCATGTCCATGGAGTTTATCTGGAGCCATTCCATGGCCTCAGGCTGGCTGCAGTGCATTTGGGGGACAAGAGCCCCTGAAGCAGGGATGGGAAGCTTTCAGCTATTTTTTCAGGCACATGTTCTCATCTTGTCCCTTTTTACGTCTGATCCTCTCTCCCAGGGCTTTTGCCAGCCACAGGCTGGGCTCTCTACCAGCCACATTCCTTCAGGTTGACGTGGCTTTTCTTTCCTCCCTCATCCTTATCACACTGGAGTTCATGAATCATATTTCTCCTAAACTATAAACCACCCAAGCACCCTGTGGAAATGAAGCGAGACAGAGCAGAGCCAGGCCTGAGGGCTCAGGCTGCTCTTGGGGGTACAGCTCTCCTGGGGAAAGGCTCTTGCAGCCATCCAAGGAGCCCTAGAGGAATAAATCCCTTTTATAAAGCTTTTATCGCTGTGCTGGCCCTCCTCCAGCTTGTTTTGGCACTGCCTCTCCTGGCACGCTCACCCAGTGCTGGAAGAAGGATGTGGGGGGAATTTTCTGGATACTCCTGTGGGGAGTGGGGGGACAAAGAGTGACTGGGGTGCTCTCCCCCCACAGCTGGCAGTGGCCAATGATGACCTGCCAGGGGTTGAATGCAATGGGACAGGGGATTGGGAGTACCCAGGCACTCCTTGATTTCAGACTGAGGGGTCTTTGTGATTACACTGGCTGGAGCCTGATTTTAAGCCTCATTTTAGGAGTGTCCATGCAGAGCCCATTTCCCTTTAGGATCCCAGGAGCCTGTGGTCAAGAGTACATTCATTTTATCTTTACTGTGATGACTAAAGTGACCTTTATTCCTCATCTCCCTGGGCAGCACAAAGGCTTTTTGGTCATTCTATCCCCTTTATCCCATTTTCCCAGAGAGTCAGAAAAGTGAGGTATAACACCAAAGCCAGCATTCCCAGAGAAAAATCTCCATCCCCATCTAAAGGACTACATGAGATCCCATGAATAAAACCCCAGACAGAGGGAAAACCCCAGAGACCTAGGAGGGTACTGCCCCATCAGATTATTTCAGTCCCCTGTGCATCTCTGAGCCTCCCAGCTCCAGGGAATTCAAGCTCTAATTAAGCTCAATTACTCCTGGAAACAATTTTCAAGCACCCATGGAGGCAGGTGGCCAGGGGAAGAACCCTGCACCTGCAAGTTTTAATTGGGAGCTTGCCCCACCAAAGTTAAGCTATCTGTGTTGCTGGTGCCAAGGAGTCTGTGCCCAGCCCTGCTGGTCTTTTGGCAACCACCTTATCACCAGTGAGGGTCATGCAGCTGCTTCCCAGCATCTCCCAAGTCAGGAGGGCTGGCCAGGAAAAAAAATTAAGCACATGGAAAGCAAAACATGAGGGCAGAGGCTGGAACCACCACTATCCTTTGGATCACCTCCCTTTTCCACCATCCCTCCTCTTACAGGAGGAAGATTTGTTTCTCATGGTGTTGTTTTGAACCCTGCCAGAGCAAGGAAAGGAAAAAACCTCCCAACACCTTCTGTTCTCACTTGCCACCGCTGATCTGTCACCCTGTGGCAACCCCTGGCCTCCCTCAGTGCCTGGCTGGGCTGTGGCTGGGGACAAAGCCACTTCCTGCCACCTCACATGCTTTGGGGATCTGGAGTGGGTGGCATCCCTGTGCCCAGGGGGGCAAGAGGTGTCAAATCCGGAGCCCCGGGGTGCAAAGCCACAGCACCAGGTGCACCACGGAGACACCACTGCTCAAAATCTAAAATTGGGAGGTTTTGTCACTTTTTTCAGATGTTCTTTTCCTGCTGTAGGCTCCCAGGATGGAGGAGTGGGATGGGACAGGCATGTGAGATGATGCAATTCCCATCCCAACTCAGGCTGGGGAGCCAACTCCTGATCAAAGCCAGACCAAAAGAGCACCATGGCATCTCCATCCTCCTGTGGTGCTCCCTAAATCCAAGCAGTAAAGGAATCCCATGGAGTTTGGGATGGGGGAAAGCAGCCAGAGCCAGGGATGCTGAGAGGCATGTGCAAGCCCAGGAAAGGAGGTGGGCTGCTGCCTTTGCTCAGCTTTTGTCCTGGCTCTTTACCACTCCCAAGCCATGCTGAGAGAAACAGTTTTAAGCAGGATGAATGAAATTGCAACACAGCAGGATTCATGGGAGTGCTGCCTCGGTCATCCGACAGTTTCATGGGAAAGTGAAACAAAAAATCAGCGTGTGGCTCAAAAAGAAAAGCTGAAGGAAAAGAAAAAGCTCATGGGAAGTGTCTCAGGCCTGCCCTGTGAACCTGGGTCACAGGCAGAGCTGTGAGGGATGGAGGCGGAAGCCTGAATGCCCTGAGGGATCCATCCCTCAACACCTCTGGGTGACCTCACTGACTAAGGAGAGCTTGGCAGTGCCTATTGCCCAAGCTGGCACAGAGCCCTGGTTTGGAATCAGGTCCTTCATCATCACCCCAAGCCTCATCCTAGAAAAACACTGTCCCAAAGTCACCTCCTCAAGCAGACAGGGCTTTCCCCAGCTCTATTCCTGCTCCTTTTCCACAGGGAGCAGCTCCTGCATCTCCCTGGCCACGTGTGGGGGCCTGTACCTGTGCCAGGCTGGAAGCTGCTCCTGCCTCCCAGAAGGAGCTTAACTGTTTTTCTTCTATTTGCCCTGAAGGAAAGGTGGTTTGGGCACAGGTTTATCCCAGCCTGGAAAGCTATCACAACCTGCTTCCAAGCAAAAATCAAAGCAATTGTGCAGATCACTTTTCAACATTTCTGGAGCAGCTCAAGGCAGCAAAGCAGGCTTGGAAGAGAGGAAGGCTCTTATCAGGAATGTGGTGTTTTGCCCTGGACTAGAGGAATCTCTATTGGATTTTCTGTGCTGCCAAGTCAGGGAGCAGAAGAAGGGATAAACAACTCCAGGCACAGGAGGTAGCTAGGACAGATCCCAAGGACAAGTGCCAGTTGTAGCAGCCAAAACACACATTGTCCTGTGAGGAGAAGAAACACCATTCACATCAGAAGTCATGGAAGCCAGAAACATCTCTGCTACCGTCAGTGAGCTTAAGGAAATGTCCTCTGAGAGGCTGAGAACATGAGCAAATGATGCAGGTCACTCCATAAATCCTGGCAAAATGCAGAAGCCACAGCCACAGCACCACTGTGTGAGCAACAAGCTCTGCTCACACCAAGATCCTTCTCAGAAATTGTGACTATGTGGATTTCTGTCAGTGGAAGAGCCAAAACAGGAAAGGTTCAGAGGTTTTATTTGTGTGGGATGGGTAAGTTAAGCAAACCTAACCTAGTGACCTCTTCCCTCATGCACAGCAGGCTGGAGGTTTCCCTCACTGGCAGGATGCACATGCTGTACCCAAAGCCTCAATTTGTTTGGGTTTAGTCAAAAATGAACTCTGTAGGTCAGCAGTGATCTGCTGGAGCAGTATGTTCCACAGCTCCCAGTCCTCTCAGGAGCAAGATCATGTTCCCAAGGAAAGGCTGGACTGGGGGAGCCCTGCCTGGTCTGGCCCACAAGGGCACAGGATTTCCCAACTTATTCATGCCAGGCAATAAATTTTCAAGCTGAAAAGGTCATCAAAGGTGAAGTTTCACTGCATTCCCATGGGAAAAACACAGTCTTGGCTTTCTATGAGGGCCTGGCCTGCTTGTTTCCTGACTGGGGCACCCAGATGGGCAGGAGGCACTTTAGAATGAGGTTGATACCTGCATCCCTCTCCAGACAACAGTTACAAAAGGACTGCAGAGCTCCTTTCAGTCAATTTTTTCTCTGATAAAACCCCTAAGCAGACACAACTTAGCAAAGATACTGGCCAAAGCAGTTACAAGAGTCAACTCATCAGGGGAAGGATTAAAAATTCTTTTTTATTAAGTTCCCAGAGGGAAAATCTGTTTGGACAGTGACTCCTGCTGGGAGGAACATGCAGCCAGCAGAGCTATGGACCAAGCTTTAGAGAGCAGGAATGGTCCAGGAGACACTTGCTAGAAGGGACTGCAATTACCCTGCACCAGAATTTGCAGGGCCTTTTCCTCTTTAGAACCACAGGAGCTCAAGCACCTTCTGCAGCCTGCCCAGAACAGAGCAGGTGTGAAGCACTGGGGGCTGAGCAGCCTCAGGAACAGTTACTCCCAAAATACCACAGGGTTTTCCACACTAAAGCAGCACATTCTTGGCTCTGGTTTTTGAAAGTCTGTGGTGAGGTACCACATTTCAGTTTGGCACCAGCTGGAAGACAACCGTTGGCTCCTTCTGTTGGAGAGCAGCTAAAGGTATGCATGCCATGGTACCAGGGCAGCTGAGCCCAGCTTCCTGCTGGCTTTATCTCCAAACCATCAGGAAGGCACAAAACCACCATTTACATGCCAAAACATCAGCTCTGCCTTGGCACATCCCGTTCTTCAAGGATCCTTTTAACTTTTTCCACGATGGTCCACACTTCTGCCATGGCACCTCGGCCTGCAGGGCAAGAGCAAAACCACATGGTGAAATCCAGGCTGGGGGTAACCTAAAGAAAGTGTGTGGAGCAAAATTCCCTATCTCACCTCCTTTCTCCAGGGTATATTTCAATCCAAAGTTGTGTGGTTTCAGAATCTTTCTGAAATAGTTTTTGCCTACACAAAAGACTTGACAAATCCATACCATTCCCATGACTCTGCCTGGGAGAAAGGACCTCCATTAGAGAAAGCTGTTGTGGATTCCCACCAGCCTGAATCCTGGGAGCAACTCTTGGAGAGGGCTGAGTGCTGGACAGAACAAAATTGAAAGGTTTTTTCTTTGGGCCTGGTTATCTGCCAGATGAACATCTAATCTATGTTGTGCTGCTGCTTTCCTTTGAAGCAGTTTTAAACTCAGGTTCAGAGTTTTAAAGCCTGAGATTATTAAATCACCTTGTCTAACCTTGTGTGCTCAACTCAGCACTGGGAACTGAGGCCATTCACTCTTCTAATTTGCCTGGAGCTGAGGAAAGATGCTTCTCCCACAGGTATTTGTCTCTTGGAAGACTGAAAAGGAGTCTCCCTTGGTATTTTATCCTGCTGGCTAATTGATCTCATAAATTACTTCTCAGCAGAAATTAGTTCCGGGAAATGCTGTTTTCATCTTTTTCAGACCTATAAATCCCAGGATGTCTGGAGCATCCTGTGGACAAGCTGCAGGCAGATTTGGACCCTTCTGCTCTGCTAAGCTCAGGGAGAAGAGCTGCACCTGACAAGAGACACTCCTCTGCATGGTTTGGCAGAGCTACACCCTTCCAGAACACTTCCAGGGCCTGCCTTCTTCCTCCACCATCCACTACTCCAACATCTCTGGCAACTCAGTGCTGGATTTTGAGGTTTAGCAAAGCAAACTCTTACAGCACAGCTCAGGCCTACAGGTGGAAATCTGTGAGTGTGCCAGGCTCTAGAAATCCAGCCAAGGATGATGAAGACAATGGCAGTGTGGAAACTATCCAGTCAAGAAACTCAGTTTGGTATTCTAACTCTTTTAGCTGGACTTTCTGTCTAAACCCACACTTTACTAAAGGAGAAAAATTCATCAGATAAAACTCGGAGGCAGTAAGGATCTGGTGCATTTCAGGTGAGATTCAACCACACAGGGTGAGGAAGAGAAACCTCCTAGAGCAAAACAAACCACAACATCAACAGACAAAACTGGTGCAAACTGAGTCTCTCCTGCACCACATGTGTGAGCTTTGCTACGTGCTGCTTGTGTGGAAACCAGGGAAACCCCTGCGTGGATGGAAGCCACAAAACCAAAATGAGTGTGGAAGAGGCTGTGGGGTGAAAGGCCTGAGAAAAGGGGAAGGGGTGAAAAAAAGTCAGTTGTGGAGACAAGTTTGGTCTTTAGAGAGATGGAATCCATTAGTGCCCTGCCATAATCTCCCTACAGGATGCCAGGAAAAGTGCTGTTGTTTTCCATCAGGAAGATCTTGTTGGGAATGGACTCACAAGCACAAGTGGAGTCCAGTCAGATGAGGCTGCTCCTGCCATCCCTGCATCCCTCTTCTCCAAACTCCTTCAGGAGTTTGCTCTCACAGCTGAGACAGCTGAGCTGGACATGAAGAAATTTGATGTCATCATGTCTAAAATCCCAGTGGAAGGCTAGTCATCTAAGATATTTCAACTGATGTCTCAGTTACTTGACTACACTTACCTAACTGTAAATATTTTTCAGTTTTCAGTTCCAAAAGTACAAATCCATGGAGGCATTGCACCTACCTAAGGAGTCCAAAACCAAGCCAGGCCTAGAATTTAACCATGAGAGACATTTTAACAGCCTGTCTTTGTCACAGACTGTTTATTGGACTGACAGGGTGGTTAAAATCCTGCTGGAGCCAGGGCTGTTACATAGAAGTAGGTGCAGGCTGTGGCTGGAACTAAGGCACGTTTTACAGAGATTTGCCCAATGAAATTTTAATAAAAAAGCAAATCCATTCATCCAAGTGGTTTGTATCAAAACCCTTCCCAAAAGTCAAAATACTTCAATTTAAAGCAAGCTACTAAAACTCAAATGAGAGCATTATTTCTTAACACTGCAAGCTAAATGTATTCAGTATGCACTTCCTCCACACCCCTCTTTCACTTCACAGAACTCTGGTGTCAAAACCCCAAATCACAGCTTGTTTGGAAGGCTAAAAAGTAACCCAGGCAACAACAACAACAAATGTTAAATGTGTGTCCAGCTACACCCCCAGCCACATCTGCAAAGGGCTTTTCTCACTGTCTGCACTCAGGGACAAGATTTAATCCCAATGATGGAACTGACGTGTCATAGACATATTTTATGAAAAATCCTTTTGCTAGGATCTTTTTCTCCTGAGAAGCTGAGAGGCCTGAAATGTAAACAATAATTATCTGCTGCTGTGGAATGCAACAGGTGCATCTTTGATTGGTCTTATGTGGTTGTTTTTAATTAATGGCCAATCACAGTCAGCTGCCTCAGACTGTCTGGTCAGTCACAAGATTTTATTATCATTCCTTTCTATTCCTTGCTAGCTTTCTGATGAAATCCTTTCTTCTATTCTTTTAGTATAGTTTTAATATATCATTTTCTTTTAATATAAAATATATCATAAAATAATAAATCAGCCTTCTGAAACATGGAGACAAGATTCCCATCTCTTCCCTCATCCTGGGACCCCTGCAAACACAGCTACACTGAGGAACTGAGGCACAATGAAAACAGCCCCCAGTCCCAGCAGAGGGCAAAGTCAGGACACCCAAATACCAGGCTGGTGAAGCTTGCCACAGGAACCTTCCTTCTCTGTGATCTCCCCTCTTCCTGAATGAGCATTTCTGTTAAGTATCAGGCTCAGCTGGAAGCTCTTAAGGCTATTTAAAAATTAATGATGAGGGATAACATGGGGCAAAGCTTCAGCTTGTATGTACAAACCGTGGCAGTTCAACATCTCTGTGGCCACACAGCAAAAGGCAGCACAACCCTCCAGGACAGGGCAGGGAAAGGGGCAGGAGCCAGGAAAAGGACTGACCTTCATCTCCACACACCAGTTTCTTCACCACACAGGGGATCTCCGTGTAGCCAAAGGCCTTGAGCTGCTCCACGTGGCGAGCTGTGATGGGATGCTCCCACATGGCCGTGTTCATGGCTGGGCAGAAGAGCAGGGGCTTGCTCAGGTCCCACGCGCGGATCACACACGTCTGCAGGAGAAGCCATGGCGGGGCTGGGATCTCCTCACTCCTTCCCATCCCTTTGCTGCACCTTTCCAGCCTGGCTGTTGTTTTGTCAGCACAGCTGGACTAACCCATGGGCTGAGATTAATTTGCAGCACATTCCAGCCAAGCTCATCTCTGACAGGCAGGAAAGATGAGGGAGGCTAGGCAGAGGATAAATCCCACCCTGCTCCAGGCAGCAGCCCAGGCAGAGCAAACCAAGCTGGAAGAGGATGTGTACAGACTGTGGGATACAGAGGAGCTGAGAGGTGGCCACAGATCTTACTGACTACAAAGACACCCCCGGGGCAACACTTCAGATAACAAAGCTGAACACTGAAAGTTGGCAATGAGTCTTTCTGACATGAAATGCCAGCTGGATCCATAACTCCCTGTAAGGGAAGCAGTGCTGCTTTCAGGATACAACAGAGGAGAGCACTAGCACATATGGGCTGCTGCAGGAGATGCTGGCAGGTTACAAGGCATCTGGCAGCTCCTGTGTGCTACAGGCAATCAAATCTGACTCCTCAGCACCTCCAGATAATCCAGGAACACCTCATCCCCTTGGAAAGACAATGCTGGTTGCTCTTAGTGCAATGTCCATTGGATTCCCCAGACCTTGCAGTATTTCAAACAAAGGAGCTTCCAAGGGAGCAGCTCTGATCACAGAGTCTTACAGGAACCCTGCCCATCCTTTTTATACCCTGTGACTTGAACCCTTCCCAGCACAAGGAAATCTGATGAAATCTGTTCTGAGCTGCCAACCAGCACCTCCAGCACTCACTTCCCTTTCCTGGAGCTGCCTCTTCCCTTCACAAGGCTCTCAAAGATTTGCAGGAGCCTATGAAGCCACACATCCCTGACATCCATCCTGAGCTCTTCCCTCTGCACACCCACAAGGGACCCAGAAGGACAAGACATTGCTTGTCCCTCCCACAGATCTGCTCTGGGTGGATTTTGTTCATTTATATGCACTTCTTACCCAAAAGGCTGTAGGTCACACAGATCTGCAGCTTCCTGAGACCTTTTGTGGTTAATGCCTGGCCACAAACTATTCAGCCCCACTGAAGGTCCCCAGCACCCAACAAAGAACACTCCCTTTAAATACACTTTCTGATTAGGCTGAAGAGCTCAAGAGCCCTTTAAATACCAAGAAACAAGCCTGAACAAGCAAAATCCTCTGTAGCTGAGGCTGGGAGGTAAGTGGGCATGAGCATGTCTGAAAGTCTGTGCTGTGTTAGGTGAGGGAGGTGGTGAAGTAGCAGGAAGTAAACAGTTCTATCTGATCTCACAGGTGTCTTTCCAGATTGCATTGAAAAAAATGTAGAGGAACTCAAAAGGGAGTGAGTGTGTGTTTGTGTGTATGAGTGACAGAGAGAGAGGATGGAGGCAGAAAGAAATACCACCCTCCAGAAAAAGCAGGGAACACAAAGCAGGGCTGGGAAATGAGATGAGAGGCTGAGAGAACTGAGGAGTGGGAACAGATTTCAGGGAAGAAAGGAGAAGGAGCAGGGGAACCATGCTGGGGAAGAGAGAGACAAGCAGATGAAAGGGGAGCAGAATGTGCAAATCTCACTGTCGGTGATGCTGCAGAAGCACCAAGGTTCCATGGAGGCAAGGTCAGGCAGTGCTGAGGGGTGGCAGCAGTGGCAGGCAGAGCCTGGGTACTCACCAGCAGGTTGTCACAGATGCCATTGGCGACCTTTGCCAGCGTGTTGGCATCCAGAGGTGCCACCACCATGAGGTCAGCCCAACGCCGGAGCTCAATGTGCAGGACGGGGTCCGAGCGGCCCTTCCACAGCTGTGGGGGACACGAGGTGGGCAGCACCAAACCCTCACACACCTCATCCAGCCCACCCAGGAATCACAATTCCTGATGGAATTCCTGTGGGATTATGCTTATGGAATTTAAGGGATGGCAGTGGATCAATGGATAGGGGGATCCTTTCCCCACAAGACAATTAACACATCTGACAACCACAGCAAAGAGCTGTCCCTACCCATGGCATTCCTTAGCTTTGTAATTATTCCTAAGAGCTCCATTCCTCAGCCAGCTGAGCCAGGCAGGCCCAAACCAGGGGTACATTTCCTGGGGAACTAATGTAATTTATAAGTTTCACATTGATGTGAAGCTGCCCACTGGCTTCTCATGAGGTACAGACCCCTAAACGAACACGTCGCTTTTAATTAGGATGCACAACCCTACTCACACTCAAAGCAGCAAAGAGAACCCTCTTAAGTACTGCAAGAAACAGTGTCCTGTTGCCCTTCTCCACGATGGATGAGGTTTATCCAGTTTGGCAATTCTCTCCTCTCTTGGCTCTCTGAATCACAGAATGGTTTGGGCTGGGAGGGACCTTAAAGCTCACCTTGTCCCATGGGCAGGGACACCTTCCCCTTGACCAGGTTGCTCCAAGGCCCATCCCACCTCTGAACACTTCCAGGGATGGGGCAGCCACAGCTTCTCCTCGACACACTCTTGAGTGATTATTTCTGTTTTCTCTAAAGCCCTGAATTACTCAAGAGAACCCTGGTTTTAAGAGCTCAGTTAACTGGGAAAGAGTCCTGAGAAGCAGCAAACAGCATCAGGTGCTTATTCCCCAGAGGAGACCCAACCACAGGCCAGCAGGGGCTCTGTCAGGGCCACAAACTGCTCCTCCTCTGAGTCACGGGAAGCCACAACAAAAAGGCAGCACCCAAAAAGCCGGGGCTTCCTGAACACCTTTCCTACTTCCTCCACTCACTTCTCTCCTTTCTGGCCATATTATTGTCAGAGTGAAGGATCTCCCAAAGAGATGCTGAGCAGGCTGTCACACTGAGCCCAGAGGAGGCCATCAAGCTGATCACAGGGATGGAGCAGCTCTCCCATGAGGAAAGGCTGACAGAGCTGGCAGTGTTCAGCCTGGAGAAGGCTTTGGGATGATCTAATTGTGTCCTTGCAGTGCCTGAAGGAGCCAGCAAGATGGAGGGAGGCTATTTACAAAGGCCTGGAGCAACAGGACAAGGGGAAATGGCTTCCAGCTGCCAGAGGGCAGGGTTAGATGGGATATGGGGAGAAATTGTTCCCTGTGAGGGTGGTGAGGCCCTAGCACAGGCTGCCCAGAGAAGCTGTGGCTGCCCCATCCCTGGAAATGTTCCAGGCCAGGTTGGATGGGGCTTGGAGCAACCTGGGATAGTGGAAGGTGTCCCTGCCCATGGCAGAGGGTAGAACTGGATGAGTTTGAGGTCCCTTCCAACCCAAACCATTCTGTGATTATTTCCCACCACAAGGGCTCTGTGCCTGCTCTCCAGTGTGCCAGCAGACCTCAAAACTTGACCTCCAGCCCTTCTATCACCCCACTTCCTCAGAAACAACTGCCTGAGGCTGTAGCACCTTGGGATCCAGTAGGTATCCACCAATCCCTGAGACCAGCCAGAAAGTTTCCCGGCTGTTGTCACTGGCGTGTTTCTATCCACTTAAAAGTGATGCTCATGTGTGAGCAGGAATAGGGGTAAGGAGAGAGCACCTTGTGCTCAGATCAGCACTGCAAAGCAGGGATGAAATGTATGGAAAAACAAATCTTGATGCTTGTACAACAAACCTCTTCATACTCAAGGAGTCTCAAAGTGTGTCAGTAAAACTGCAGTCAGGAGAAAAAGCCGTTTCACAGGGAGCAGAGATGTTCACAGCCCTGACAGCTGAGCTAAGGAGAATGAAGCTGCTGCCTGCGTGACAAGTATGACTCATGACAAGCACCAAACTTGCTCACCATGGCTCTGCAGTGGCTGTCTTGACATTTCCTGACACTCAGAGTGGCTGAGCCCAGGGTTGAGAGAGACCACTCTGTACTCTCCCTGCCTGCTGCAGGACAAAATCCTGCACTGCATCAGAGCAGCCTCTCTCTTCCTCTTCCTTTACAGCACGTTCTTCAAAAGCCACATTTCAAACATATATTCCTAGACCAAGGAGTGAATCTTGGCTCAGGTTTAAAAAAGAACTAAGTGTGGTTTCTTGAAAGAAAACTTAAGAGGAATGCTTTTATTTACAAGGACAACTCACCTGCCACTCCTCTTCATCACCATAGAGGGTCACAGGAATCTCCTGGGCATTGTAAAAATGTTTTGCTCTCTCAGTAGTGACCACCTTCACCTCGAGCTAAGCAGAAAGAAAAAGACCACTGGTTAGACTTGAGGAGAATTTAGAAGGTTTTGTGGCTTCTCAGAGAACCTCCCCTATTCACAGCTGAAAGGCCAGGCCACCACAGGGATCTGCAGGAACCAGAAACTCATTTCATGTCTACCTAAAACAGACAGATCCTCACCTGCCAAGCACAAGGGAAAACCTCTGAGCAGCTGTGTCCATAGCACAGGGTTTCTGTGCAGCAAACCAGTGGCTTCCACAAAGAGAGACTGGGTGAACACAGGAGGTTTCTGAAATCTCAGATAATCCTGCAAAGCCACTGGAACCTTCCTTTACTGGGGAAAGCCTATCCCATCCTTCAGGTGTCTATCTGACATGCACTTACAAAAGGTGCTAAGGTGAACCTCTCGTTTCCTCATGCAGAAATCTTCCCAAGTGGAAAAGGGGCCCTTTCCCAGTTTTCTATGTGTCCTGCAGCTCTGATGATGCTGCCAACAGCTCCTGCCACAGGCAGGGAACCAGAGGTGTCCTCCACACACCAGGGTCAGCCAGTGTCAGCTCTGCATGCCCTGACTGCCCATGTGGGACATGGAGCTGAATTTCCAGCTGAATTCCTCCCAAGGGTGTTCCTTAAACCCATCAACATCAAAACACATGGATGGAGCACTGTGGATACTGGTAATGAGGAAGATGAACCTCAGGCTGCTGATTACAGTGAAAAATACCCATTTTCCATGGTATTGGCCACTACCTGCTCCTTCCAGCAACTCCCAGAACCCACTGCACGGTTCTGTTGATCTGGCAGTGAGATGGGGAGAAATCAGCCCCACCAGCTGCTCCTTCCTGCTGGACAGCAGTGCCTTGAGGTAGAAAACTGAGGAGGCACTTGGTGTGTGCACTCCTTGCTACAATCAACTGCTGGAAACCTCCAAGCTCCAAGAAGTTCTCTGCAACAGCAGCAGTGATATGACAGAGCACATGAATCCAGCTCCCAGCACCATTTATTCCACTGGGAACAAGGCAGTGTTGGCTCCTTGCATCCTATGAGACTAGAATAACAGCTGGGAGCAGTGGAAAATCCCAGCCTCAGCATATTGTGCCCACTGGTAATTTCCCCCCAATTTCTGAAAGAAAAGTGACAGGATAAACCAGCTGCACGACACATTTTTGGTACTGTACATTTGCTTTTCTGCCACTTCTAAACGTCTGTTTTTCTTGAAACACCCCTGACTGGGAATGACAGGTGTTCATAGTGTTTTTGAGCATGAAGATCACACTCCCAGGCATTAGCTAACTGTATTATTTCCATGCTAACCTCACCCCACAGGAAGCTGCTCGAGCCAAGCAGCGACACCCACAAAGGTGCTATCGCCGTTCCGCTGCGCCACAGGCTTCGGGTGAGGTGTTAACCTCAGTGTGCAAAAAAATTATTTATTTATTTGGGGGGTTTGAAGGCCACTGTGCAGTTTGAAGGAGATGGCTGCTCTCTGAAATGCTGCCATTGAAAAAAATATTTATTTCTTCCAAGCATAAGCCCATGACTAGGGAAGAGTTCTGGCTGTCAAGCACTGCATTCAACCATTCCAGGCCAGAACGTTGCAGAGGGACGTTGAAGGAGTCTGAGTGCTGAAATCCCACCAGCCCCCAAAAAAGTTGTTCTGTGAGTTAAATATTCTCCCTAATGAAGGTCTTCTGCTGGGGTGGGCTCCTGGTTCCCTCAAGTCCCTCCAGCTAGACTGGGAAGAGCCCACTGTTCTCAGGATTACCTCAGCCTGCATAGTTTATTCTATTTACCTGGCACACCCTCTGTTTGCCTGTGGATATCTTCAACAGTAAAGGGAGTTTGGCCACACTCAAACTCCCTCACTGGAGACAGTTTAGATTAGTTAAAGGTCTTTGGCTTAAGCCAAATCTCCAAAACAAACTTTACCACAAAGCCCACATTCAGGCAACACTGCTGGTCTCTGATAGAGGATTCTCCTGGCCCAGCCCTTTGTGCTCAGGGGAAGGAGGTGCACGTGGTTATTTTATTTTTTAATGGCTTTCTCAGGTCTGACAGCAAAATCTTTCTAGACAGCCTGAGCACACGAGCTCCTCTGTTAAATGGCACCTACAGGCTGAGGCAGAGCCTGCCTGGCAGCTGCACAAAGAAGTGACAGGGTGTGATTTAAACCTGAAGTCCAGGTGACATCCTGGAGCTTCAAGAGCAAAACTTTCTGCCCACCAAAAAGTCTGTCCTGGCCTTTCTTTAACCTAGGATTGTTAGCATTCAGAAACACATAATCACAAGAATGATTATATGCAGGTGTTTTTATTGAAAAGCTCTGGGTGTCAGGGGTACAAACCCAAATCTGACTCCAACATGGGTTCAGGATGAACATGTTTTTATATTCTATTGTTATATAACTTTCATGTTACTTATTAAACTTATATTGTTCTACTGTATACATAGATTTCAGCCAAGCATGGGCTCCTCGTGGTCCCCCTCAAACTTCTAACATAGTTTCTCATGATTCTTCTTACGACTAAACAATAATTATATTTAATTACTAAACAATCATCACATCTAACAATTATATAATTTATCATATACTGCTTACGCAGGTGCAATTTCACATGATCTGGCAAACACAAAGCTTAACATTTTCAGAGTCTATTTTTAACATTTTTCCAGGGCCTCACTAAGTCTAGCTTCTTTCTAATTCCCTGAATTTGATGATTTTAAAACCTTTTACTATCAGGATCACAGGCTGGTTTGGATTGGAAAGGAAATTAAAGGTGTTCCAGTGCCACCCTCTGCCATGGGCAGGGACACCTTCCACTATCCCAGGGTGCTCCAAGCCCCGTCCAACCTGGCCTTGGACACTTCCAGGACAAGTCAAGGACAATTCAAACAAAAGGCAGTGAGCTGCCACATCCCCTGGCACCCTTGAGGAGGTGTTAAAGTTTAATGAGCAGCAAAATCACTCTGCCAAATTGTTCACCACAGAGCATTTGAGGCAAAACATCCATTTAAACTAACCACTCTGGTTGCAAGCCTGTGACCACATCTCCTCTGGTATCAAAGCCATATTCTGCTCCTGCCCTGCCTGCTTTGTAAAGCTCTGCTCCAGCAGTAAAGGAATTGATGCACCAGCCTGGTGCAGGATCAATAAATGCCATGAGAAAGTTACACTGACTCAGCAGGCCTTGAAATCACAGCAGAAATGAGTAATTAACTTTGATTAATAAGCTTTTATAAACTCCTGGATGTCTCACTTTTGCTTTTTCTGCCCTAAAACCAGTGGCCACAATCTCCACTGGATGTCACAGACCTCTGGGGCTGCACAGAGAGTTTGAGTCCAGCTGTCTGCAGCTTTTCATTATGAAACAAACACTCAGAGAGAAGCAAAGGGTTTGAGCCAAATTCCTACCACGGGTCATTTGCATTCTGCCTGTCACCTGCACAGAAGGATGTCCCAAGCTCCAGGAGCAAAGGAAAATGGACAATGGCCAAGTTAATCCAAGAGGGAGAGGATTAGAAGATCTCTATCTCTGGCTCTGGGCTGGTCACCCCATTCCTTAATGTCATTTTTCTTTGTCCTTCTTATTTCAGGCTGGGACCTTTGGCCTCATTAATCACATCAGGCCAAGTCATAAATTAACTGAGGCCTCCCTTTGCCTCACCTCCAGCTCCCTTTCCAGCTTGGGTGACAACATCAACCAGATAAACCAGCACCTCCTCTGCTTTTTTGCTAAATGTACCCACAAGGTACAGCCTCCCAAGGCACCCCAAAGGAAATTCAGGCAGCAATCTCATCAATAAATCTGCAGATTTCAGTGCACCCTTCTTGCCCTTGCCACTCTTTTCTTTCACTGCTCCAAAATAGTTCTTCCTTTTCTAAAAATCTAAAAGTTTTCTATGTTTAACTTTATCCTACAGCAAAAATAGCACATTTCCCTCCCTGATCAGGCACCAGTGGCCCCTGCTGGGCACCTCTGTTACTCCAGACAACAAATAGTAAAAAAATACTACACAAACACATAGAGCAGCTTGTGTTCTCCATTTCTGGTTTTACAAGGTCTGTTTTCCCTTTCTGGGTCACATTTGGAAAAGCCATATCCCACCCATGGAAAACTGCAATACCCTGGAGATTTCAAGTTTCAGAAGCATCACCTCTGTCTGCAACCACATTTGATAACCTGACTGACAAGGACAAACTCCAGAAAAAACAGAACACCCAAAGCAAAGATCATTTCAAGTATGAAATGATAAGAAAAAAGAAAGAAAAAAAAAAGATTTTTAAAAACAGGTGGAATTCTCCTCACAGACATTTTTGAAAACTAAGTGGCCCCCAAGGAGGAACTTGTTATTTTTGTTATTTTAGCAGAAGGCATGTGATCACTCCCCAAAACCAGGGTAACTCCAACTTCACAAAGCTCCACCAAGAGCTTCACTCACCCCAGGGATTTTCAGCAATTCTGCCACCAGCAGGGGCAGCTTGAGGGCAGCCACGCTTCCAGTCACTCCCAGCAGCACATGGAATTTTTCCTGTGCCACAGATGAGCTGTTTCCTGCAGGAATGCCTGGCTCTGGCAGGGAGATGGGCTCCATGCTCCAATCCAGCTGTGCAGGCACAGGGAAACAAAGACACTGGGCTAACACAGCCTCCAACCCCAACAGATTCCCAACAGAGGGGGATCTAACCTGGACTCTGCAGGACCCAGAAAGATGGGATGGCTCTGGGTCATCCCCAAATGCCACCCATCCCACAGGGATTTCAAGCACCAGCAGAACTTTGAGGGCAGCTCAATGTGTAATTACATTTTTCTCTCAGACACTGGGAAACAGACTCCTAAAACTTGAGCAGAGAGGCCACAAAAGTGCCCTGGAAAAGTTCATGCCCTCCAAAATTAAAACTCCCACATGTTGAACGTGGTCCAGAATTTAGGGCAGATAAATAAATCAATTTGGGATAAAATTTTACACCAAGTTCTCTAAAGGCAAACAAACCCCTGCTGAGATACTTTCCCTCTGTACTCTCTGGTGATTAATAAATGCACAGAGATGTCTTAATAATTAAAAATGTGGGGCCTCACTGCATGCACAACCATCTTGTTTCTCACTGTGTCCCTAAATATTAACAGCAACACTAGAAATAATTCCCTAGCAGCTCTAATTCAGGTCTGCTGCTTCCTCCTGGCCTCCCTATGCTGCTGCCACACTGATAAAAACCAGAAATTAATGTTTTGGTGAGGAAACTAACACAAGTATCTCAAATATAATCAATTAATGATTAAGCAGCAAAGAGCAAATTCAGTTCTTGAAAAATCGCTGCAACCAGTAAAGTTTGTTCCATTTTAGTGATGCCCTTGTTGTTCAAACTGTTTGGAATCACTTTGGGTGGAAAGAAGAAGATGGACACTGGCTGTCCTGATTTTTGGGAGCAACTCAGAGGGTGGAGAGAGGAATTTCACAGGATCACAGCCTGGTTTGGCTTAGAAGGGAAATGAAAGTGAACAAATCCCACCCCCTGTCATGGGCAGGAACACTTTTCACTAAGAACCCAATTCCAGCTTTGCTGATTAGCAAGGGTAATGAAGAGGTGAGGAAATGCAGCAGGACATTGGCTGAGAGATTTTAATGCTTCCACCATGCTTTACATATTTATCTATATTTAATTAAAATCAGATTATTATGATCATTTATAAATAATTAAAATTATTATCTACTTAAAGCATGCTTAGGATGCTTCCAAAATGTCCACAATTAATTCCACCAAAGCATCCACAAATTAAGGGTAATTAAGAGGTGAGGAAATGTAGTAGGACATTGGCTGAGAGATTTTAATGCTACCACCACGCTTCACATATTTATCTACATCTAATTAAAATCATATTATTATTTATAAATAATTAAAATTATTATCAATTTAAAGCACCCTTAGGCTATTTCCAAAATGTCCACAATTAATTCCACCAAAGCATCTACAAATTAAAGCCCGGGTATTAAAAAGTAAATTTTTAAGTAGGAAACTTTCAAAATGCTTACGAATTATAGAGTAATGATAAAAAGGATAAAAATGAAAAAAATATAGAACAATTATTAAAATTGTAAAATAATGATAAATACGGTAAAACAACGGTAAAAAAAGGTGAAATTTTTCAATGGTACAAATGTAAAAATAAAAGCAAAAATAGCGGTAAAAATATAAAATAACGGCAAAATATTATAGTAGAAGCTGTATGTATAATAATACATGTAACATAACGATAAAAAAAAAGTGCTGGGCCGCGCTTTCCTCTTACCCAAACACACCTGTGGGGAAGCAGCCACCAGAAAATTGGCAATTTACAGACCCTTAAGGGTTAATTAAATCGACTTTTAATGCGGTAGCGGTGCTGCAAACGGCTCCAAAAGGCCGCACACCAGCACTGAGAAGCCGCAGGGGCCCCCAGAAGGTGCAAACAGCGCCCGACACCGCTCCGGGCAGGACCGGGAGGGCCGTGAGGGCAGCGGGCGGACCGGAACTGGGGAGTGCCGGGAACCGGCGCACGCACGGCGCTGATTGGTGCGCTCTGCTCTGCCCTCGGCGCTGATTGGTGCGCTCTGCTCTGCCCTCGGCGCTGATTGGTGCACACTGCTCCCGCCCTCGGCGCTGATTGGTGCGGGCAGCGCGCGCGCCCAGCGGGAGGAAGGGATGTCATGGCGGCCCCTCACGGCCCCGTCCCGGGTTATGGCGGCAGTGTTGCCACCCGGGAGGGCTTTGTGCCACTCTGTGCCCCAGTCGTGCCCACGCGGGGGATCTCGCCAAGGGCAAGCGGGTGGCTACAGGCTGCTCAGGAAGCAGTCTTAGCTGGGATTGTGGCTCGTGGCAAGGTTTTGGAACGGAACAAAAACCAAAGAAACTCGGTGTAGAAGGCCTGTGGGGGACAGTATAGAGGAGAGGGTCTGAGGGCCCCTCAAGTGACCCGGGTGATATCTGAGCCCAGGAAAGTGCTTGAGATCAGGAGTGAAACCTTTCCTATGGCAGCCACACAGAGCTGGCAGGGGAAAGTGGATTAAAGGACTGAGTATTCATTGTCTGAGGCACAGACAAGATAAGGGGAATGGCTTCCCATGCCAGAGGGCAGGGTGAGGTGGGATACTGGGAAGAAATTGTGCCCTGGCACTGGATCCCCTGTGGCTGCCCCTGGATCCCTGGAAGTGTCCAGGGCCAGGCTGGATGGGGCTTGGAGCAGCCTGGGACAGTGGAAGGTGTCCCTGCTGGAGGAGCTGTGAGGTCCCTTCCCATCCAAACCACCCCATGACTATGTGGGCACGACAGACCTGGGGCAGCCCGTGGTGTCCAGCCCTGTGCAGATCCAGCTCAAAAGCAGCAGTTATTTAGACATCCCTCTGATATTGGCTACAGACAAGCAAGAGGCAGAGAGAGCTGTGCCCTGCTGACTGCAGGACGTGAAAGACAACAGGGACACCTCAGGAGAAGCCCAGGTGTGTTCTATGAGAGGCGTCTTACCCAGTAACAGGAACAGCCCATCTCTCCCACCCTGTGGGCTTCAGGAGCACCACACTTTGAATCAGCCCCACCTGGAGCAGGGACAGCTTGCAAATAACCGAGGTGAGAACGAGGGGTCGAGTTTCCCAGCCGGCTGGAGCCACGGGGGGAACCTTTCAGTGCTCACACATCGGAGCTCACACATCACTCAGGAGACACATCGGAGAGGAGGGTTAGGTGCTGAAGCAATGTCTGTTAGTTACAGCTCGTTACAGTTATTATTGATGCATCTTATTGTCAATGCAAGAGGTGAAGTCACTTAATCCATCATTTCTCAGACACGGATGACAGAGCACGTGGTTTGGCAGAGTAAGTTTTAGGCGAGCTAGAAATGGATTCCACAATATTTAAACCTGATTAAGTACATAATAGGCTTAGCAAAGGATTACTTTTCTCCTGACATTTTATACATAAATATATACACACACACACACACAGAGACAGGCATTTTATCAGTAGCTGCATTTTAGTCTTGTCAAGAGACAACTGCCTATTGCAGAATGACTGGAGTGACACCCTTAAAAAGGAAACTAGTCTTGGTGTGCTTTGCTGGAGAAGAGAAGGTCCTTTTTGGGGTGATTCTCAGGGGTAGGGGTCACATCCAAGCATTACTGGAGGGCTGGAGGGGACAGATACGGGGCTGGGGACTCGCACAGTCCTGGCTGGTGGCACACTGAGCTCCTTCCCTGTGCCAGGCAGGAGATACTGGAGCCAAAGGGCTGGATTGGATTCTGTTTGGGCTGCTTTTCGAGGACTTGGAGAAAAATTTGGCTTATTTAAAGTGCATTTAGAGTTGAAAAGCATCTCAGAGAAGTAGCTTTCCCTACTCCTGCCCTGCAGCATCCATCCCATTTATGCTCCTACTCATAATCTTTTCCAGGGTGTGCCAGTCACCTTCCCCAAGAAGTGTTGGTCTGAGCTCAGCTGCCTCCTGTGAGGGTGCAGGATCATTATTTAATGTCAAACATCCCCAAATTGGGCAGGGATTCGGGCCTGACAGGGAAACACAGGGCCACATCTCACTATGCTTTTCAGGAGTGCAAGTGAGCAGGAGTCCTTCCCTCCAGCCTGGAGGTTTCCTTAAGAGACTTAAATTAGCACAAACCTCCAAAGCTAACGGGGACAAACCTTGGCCTGGCTATTTCCATGAGCAGGGAAACTGCTTGGATGTGCTGGGATTCGGGGTGGCAAGATTTGACCCGCAGCCTTGCCCAAGCACAGGTCCTCTGAGGAATGCTCTGTCACTTTTACAGCTGCTTTTCAGAACAGAAGCCTTAAAAAAAAAACAGACTCAGGATGCAGAATCTGGAATGGGATGGTTGTATCCCACAGGGAAAACCTGTCCTTGCTCCCCAACACACACACACATGCACACACACACACTGGTCCTCCACGTCGAAGTGTAAACTACTCACAACACCACACACTGAGAGAAGTTGTAGATCCTGAGCCAGGGTGTAGATTAGGAATCTCTTGGCTTCCAGCATATCAACAGCAAGATTGAGGGTTTCTTATATTTTTTTCCCTTTTTTTTCTTTTTTTTTTTTTTAATCCTAAATCAGCCAGCCACCTGCTAGTTAAAAAGCAAAAGAAAAAAGGAGAATTCCCAGGATTGCTTGCCCTTGCTGAGACAGTGGCAAGTGGCTGGATGCTACCAACTGAAAGAGAAAACTCACACATGTCAAAAACCCGAGGTTTGGGGCTTATTCCAAGAGGGAAGATGGGTGCTGGTTGCTATTTTTCCCTTTTTGGGGGGCATGGGGGGGGGGGGGCTTTTGGCTGATGAGGTTCTAACGTACACCTATCACCACAGTAATTAAAAAACCACCACCGTACACTATTCCACAGGGAAAAAGAAGACACGTGAACGGACACTGACTACCACGCACAACAAGAGCCCTGCAGGTCAACTCACGGCCTCTTCAGAACGAAAAAGAAAGGAGAAAAGAAGAGCTCAAGACAAGAAAAACAGAAAAAAAAAAAAAAAAAAGAAAAAGGAAAGAAAAAAATCCCAAAGGATCTCGTTACAAAGACGGGAAAAGAACCACCATTATGGTACACTCTGACTTTCTGAGACAGCTGCAGAAACTCAGGCTCAGGCTTCCTCCTCCCTTTTCCCCCCCAGCTCTTCCTCCTGAGGACAGAGTCCTGCTGCTGCTCACATCTCGTTGGAGTAGGTGTAGTTGGGGGTGGCCGAGTACTGCGTCTCGTGCTGCATCATGGCGCCCTGCGCCGCCCCCATGGCCGCGTTCTGCGCCGCCTGCTGCACGTGGGGGTTCTTCCAGGCCCCCGTGGTCCACTCCTCCTGCGCTTTGCTGAAGCTCCCGCCGCTGCCCCGGTAAAACTTGTGCACCTGCAGGGAAAATCCAGAGGGGCTGAGCGCCCGCGGCCAGCACGGAGCTCCTGGGGTGGCAGGAGGGCCACCCAAAGCCACGTGGAACCCCTGTTCTTCCTGCCATACCATGGTGAGAGCGATGAAGGAGAAGACTGCCATGGCTGTGAAGAGCACGGTGGGGATCAGCATCACCACAGCTGAGCCCACGTTGGTCCCAAAGAAGGAAATTGCTGCAATCCAACCGCTGCAAGGAGATGGAAACAACTGGTTCATTCACCAGCTCTCCCAGACTGCCAGCAGCCCTCCCAGCTCCTCAAACCATCTTCACCAAGGAGAGAACTAGTAAGGAAGCTAAAACACCACGGTGACCACCCTTGTACCCAACACAGCAGCATTTTCCTTACCAGACCCCCCATCCAGGGATCCCCACTGCCTGGATAATGCTGATCACCAGCTGGGCCATGAAGGTGAAGAAGAAGGCCATGAAGCTGAAGGAACTGTCTGTCCTGCAAGAGAAGGTTGAGTCACTCCTGCACCTCCATCCCTGCTGCACTCCAAGGGAAGGGAGATGCTCCGACGTATCAGACCTGGCTGCGGTTTAGCAGGAGGGTGATGGAAAGAAAAATTAAAGGCAAAGGAGAAACTGCAAGAGGCTGAAGGTGGTCAAGGGAAACCGGGGAAAGCCATGGGGCACCAGACCCTCCCTATGGCTCAGTCAGCTGGGCTTGAGGACATCTGTGTTGGGACACGACTCTCAGCTCACACCACCCCACATGGGGAATAAATACACCCCTAGTTCTCTAGATTTGGGGGCTGACCTCAGCACCACAGGTAACCTGTACAAACACCTCAAGGATTCATGGAAAAATATAAGAGATGCCTCAGGGATGAGAGGGAAAGTGGCACCCCAGCTGCATCCTCACCACTATCCCCCACCACTGCACAGAGGCACAAGGAAAGTGTCCTTACAACACCTGATGGGGGGTTTGGCCCCCAGGAAATCCCAAACACTCTGGTTTTGAAGGTTAGAAAGTAAAGCTAAAGGGCTGCACAGAAAGGAAATCCCCCAATTAGTCAGGCAATGCCCCAAGCTAAACACTGACCGTTTACGAAGGAAAACAAGGCAGAAAGAAGCCAGGCTCAGGTGCGACCACTTACTTGAAAGCTTTGTAAATAGGTCTAAACCAGCAGACATAGGAGCAGGGCGTAAAGAGAATGAGCCAGAGAATTGCCAGTCCAAAATTTACAGCTCCGCCGCCTCCAATGAGCCACGCGAGGCAGCCCACGAGATTCACCGCCAAGGTGATGCTGTTCACTGCAAACACACACACACACACAGAGCAGAGTAGCACGGATGCAAGGGTGGCACTGAGACACCAAGGACCCCAACCCCAGGGACTGGCCTCAGAGTCCTGCCCTAGCTGGATTTCCCTTAAATTAAACTGGGAGCACATTCCCAGGCTGGCTGGGCCGAAGGGGGTCAGGCCTCAGCTGAGTGTAACAGGAGGAAAATCAATGTATCACTGAGAGTTGTAATTCCCTAAGCAGTTCCTGAGCTCTGAAGATTGGCAGGAGTTGCATCCTCCCACTCCTATCAAGCCAGGTCACATTTCCACTAACAGAAGGAAACTGGAGGAATTGTGGTGAAGTTTTTCGCTTGCTCCAGATAGATCTTTGCTGAAGGAGCTTGTGCAGGAGCTCCCCGAGCACCACTGAGAGCCAAAATGCTGAACTCCTGACCCTGCCTCGCCGGTTCAGGGGGTGACACATTTCCCTCGCCCACCCCTGCCTGGGATCAGGCCACACAAGGGCTCTGACTATGAGTCCCAGCTCAGCAGACACAGGACAAAGCAGAGAAGGCTCAGCTGCGTTCTGACGCCTCCGAGTTCGGAGAATGATTCATTATTTCGACGAGAACGAGAGCCCTCCCACCACCGCCTGCCTGAGAGCTGCAGCTGGCAAGGCAAGGAGCTCAGCTGCCCTAAAGGACAGGAGGGACCTTCCAGCCATTCTGTGCTGGCTGTCTGAGGGGCTGCTGGGGAGAAAATGACCCAGAGAGGAGCTCCAGAGGCAAAACCCAAGGGACAGTGACTGGCTCTAGGAGGTGGTGCTGGTATTAAGGAGCAAGGACCAAGGTCTGCTACATTAAGAGGAAGAACATCCTGGTTGGGATGGGGAGGGAACTGAACACCCCCAAGAGAGCTTCCCCAGGGAAGCACAGCTTTTTTCCTCCCATGCCTTAAACAAGCAAACCCTCCTGACATGATGAAGCTACCCCAGGGTCACCCTCCTGACAGGACACAGCCCCAGGGATGCCAGCCTGGTGCCATGGCAAAAGCAGGAACACACCACAACCTCTGTTGTGTTAGCTCAGCTCTTCCTAACCTGCCCCTAAAGCACAGGGCACTCCCTGGGCACTGGTGCTTCCAAAGTTCAGGGGAAATGCCTGATAAGGGAACTGAGTTCTAGAAAGAAATAAAATGCTGGTGCCAGCTTGCCCTGAGCTGTGCACGTTTCCACCTATGCTGGGGTGTGACCTGTCCCTCTGGCTCTGTTCCCTGCCCATGTTTGGTGAAGAAGAGAGATCCAGGATAGCTGGAAGAGCTGGAAGCTGGTGACAGCTCTGTTAGCACAGCACGGCACACAGAGGCATGCAAGAGGAACAGGCAAGCTCCGGGAAGCCTCAAGCTCCACGTTTTGGGGAGCAGGCACACCAGCCCTCCAGTCTGAGCTGTCTCCTCCTTACAGCAGGACATCAACAGCACCACCAGTGACCCTGGGACACTGAGCCAGCTCCATAGCTCCATCCTGGAGGCTGGAAGGGCTGGGATCCATGGGATGCTGCAGCCCACCTCTCATTCCTGACTTTTAACAGGAGACACCAAGGCCTGGAGGGGGAGAAGGGCTTCCCCTGACCTTGTCCTGCCCTTTCAGCTGGCAGCTCCCAGAGGAGCAGCCTTTGGAGAGGCAAACAGATCCCACTGGAGCCATTCCCACAGGGCCACTCACGCATCCAGAGGTAGTAAAGCCGCTTGGCCATGGTCCGGTGCTGCGGCGGGATCTCCGCATCGAAGTCCTGGTAGAAACATGGCTTCAGGGGGATGAACTTGGGCAGGGGAGGGAAGTTGTTCACCTTTTCTGCAAGGAAAAGTTTCACTGGTATCAGCCTGAACAAAAACCAAGAGGCTTCCTAAATAACCCCAAGAACAGTCAAATTTTACACAGGAGTTAAGGATTTCCTATGGAAACTGCCACCAACCCACCCGAAAGGATCAAATTCAGCCCTCACTGGCCACAGAGATCCTGCAGCCATGGACACCCCCCACCCCACTGGTGACTAACAAGGTGACATTATGGCCAGTAGAGCCCACAATGATCTCCAGAGCCCCCTGTACCTGCCATGCTGGCACACGCTCAGCCTCTCTGCTCCTCGGGAGAAATACTTGGGAAAAACGTGGGAGCTTTAGCAAAGCTGGAGGAGAACGAGAGAAAAAAAAGGTTGATTGAAGTGGTCAGGGACGTCTGCAAAAGCCTTCACCTTCCCTCCCATTCCCAAACAACTCAAGGACAGCAGTTGGCTTCACTTCTGTGACACTCTGGACTATCACACATCCAGGCTGGCACCTGGCTGGCAGTGTGATAAATCCTGACTCCTCTGGCTCAGGCTTATGTGCCAGTTAAGGCAGAAGATTACGAGAGGATCCAGTGATGTGGGGCCTCCCACTCCCAACTGACCTACATCCAGGAGAGGGCCAGGTAGGGCAGCAGGGAAAGGAGGTGGCTGTGGGCAGTTTGAAACTCTCAAGTTCATTACCTGACCCCAAAATAATTATTTTTAAAAATGTATTATTGGGGTTTTCTTGCTGAATTCCAGCACAGGGGACTACCTGGCTGCCTAGTAGCTGCCATCTCTGCAAGCCCAAGCCAAAAACAAGGCCAAAACGGGAGCAGAAAATCAGAGCAGAGAAATCAGCTGGAAAAAAAAATAAATCAGTGGCGATTGTCACTAATGAGTCACTTGAGTGCCTGGCTTAACAATTACTCATGTCATTTGGCACCTCATTCCAGAGCATGCAGGTGGGAAAGGAGAGCTTAGCATCCCAGGACCATCCCAGACCATTCCATGCTCAGCTCTGTGCCAGATGTGAAAATTACGGCGAACTAAAGCAAAAAATTATTACCTGAGGTTTTAAAGAGAAGCGTGAAGATGGCGTATCCCCACCTGCCTGCAGGTTTTGCCCTTTCCTAGTTATCCAGGCAGCGACCAACACATTTCCCAGGACACGGGGTCCCGGCAGTTGGTGCCTGGGGCTCCTGGGGGGATTTGGGGAGCTCTCTCTAGGGGTCTATTCGCACCCCCCAGGGCTCGCCGTGCCCGACATCCGCCGGCAGCCCCCGGATGCTTCCATCCCGCCAGTGCTATAAATACGAGCTCCTCGGGCGCGGTGACGTCCGCCCGGCCGCCCCTACCCACGTGTGCCGGGAGCGGGGACACACGGCCCGGCACCCCCCGGCCCCGCCACCGTGGGGCCAAAGCACCGGCACAGCGACACATTCGGGTGGGGTTTTTTTGCAAAATGAGGAATATGGTGGAGTGGATGGAAGAAGGACGGGGGATCGCATAGGTGACGGCACCGAGAAGAAACAGCTCTGGTGCGCGGGGCGCGTTTGGGGAGGGCAGGCAGGGCTCGGCATCGCTGCCCCTACGTTTCCACGCGTGAAGGGCTGCGTGCCCCACGCATCCCCACCTCACAGCCGGCGCAGCTTCCCAGCAGCGGCCTGGATCGGGGAGAAGGGCGGCCCAAGCCCCGCTCGGTCCCCGGTGCACCCACGCGTGTGCAGGGTCACCGCGGCTGTCCCCACGCCGCGCATCCCCCCCCGCAAGCGGATGCAGAGCGGGAGGTCGGTGCAAAGGGCGGCCAGCCCGCTCGGGGGGAGCATCCAGCGCCCTCACACCGAGGCGTTTCCCCTCTCCACACTCCCGGGACTCACCACGTGGCGTGACCCGTCCCGTCCCCTCCGGTCCCCGGCGGGTGGCGGCGGCCGCCCGCCCGCCCGGTGCTGCTCCTGCCGCAGCGACCGCGCTCTCGCGAGACTGCGGCGCCGCCGCCACCCGGGCTATGGCCAGCGCCGGGATCTCGCGAGAGCGCCCGCCGCTGTCCAGGGTCCTGATGCCGCCGGATGGAGGGGCGGGGCCACAGGGAAAGGGCGGGGCCTACTGAAGGGGCGGGGCCATTATGGGGGGCTCTATAGGTCTGGGGGTTCCATGGGGCTGGCAGTGCTCTATGGGGCTTGGGGGGCTCCATGGGGCTGGGAGTGCTCTATGGGGCTTGGGGGGCTTTATAGAACTGGAGGCTCCATGAGGCTGGGAGTGTTTTATGGGGTTTTGGGGGCTCCATGGGGCTGGGAGAGCTCTATGGGGCTTGGGGGCCTTTAAAAGGCGGGGGCTCTGTAGAGCTGGGAGCTCCATGGGGCTGGGACTGCTCTTTGGGGCTTGGGGAGCTCTATAGGGCTAGGGGCTCCATGGGGTTGGGAGTGCTCTGTGGAGCTTAGGGGGTTTTATAGGGCTGGGGGTTCCATGGGGCTGGGAGTGTTCTATGGGGCCTGGGAAGCTTTACAGGAATGGGATCTGTATAGGCCTGGGAGTGTTCTATGGGGCTGGGAGTACTCTATGGGGCTTGGGGGGCTCTATAGGGCTCCATGGGGTTTGAGTGCTCTATGGGGCTTGGGGGGCTTTATAGGAATGGGGGCTCTGTGGGGCAGGGGTGCAGCAACCCCTACCCAGGGTATGGCAAGCATTATGTGGGTAGAAGACCTCCCTCAGAAGGGCAGGGGCTCTTGGGGACAGCCCCTGGCAGGGCACACAGGCTCCCTCTATCCAGGAGGCAATGGGAAACCAGCAGCTCCCCACCAGCAGGACCAATTTTGGGGTACTCCATGTCCATACCCTGGTGTGCTTCATTCTGGGAGCAGTAATTAATGAATGACTTGCATGAAAGCCAGAGGACATGTTAATTGCTTTTGCCAGCTGGATGGCAAGGTTGGGATGCTAAGGTTGGGATGTGGAGGGCAGGGGAAGGGACTGGACTGATTTACAGACAGGACAGGGATATAAATCCCAAATCAGCCTGAGAGCTCCATAGGCTGTGTCCCTTGTTCTCAGTGCATATCACTTGGACCTCCTGCCTTAGAGCTTGTGAGAATATCAGTGAAATGTTGTGAAAATTACTTTATTTGACAGCTAAATCATCCTCCCTTCCCAGGGTCCAGCCTCGAGGGTCACAGAGGGGCAGCAAGGACAACATCCCACCAGGGGAAGATGAGAACAGCTGGGCAAGGAAGCAGCAAAATCTCTTTACACCAGTGAGCCCTGGTGGCCAAAGCCCTTCAGCAGGGGAACAGCGTTGCTGTGGGGATGCCAGGAAGGAAACCTGGCAGAATCAGGGAAAATGCCTGCTTCACAGATGGTAAAATAGAGGGAAGCAGGAAAACCAGCATGCCACAGATGACCTCATAGCAGGGGGCCCAGCTCTCCACTCTGACCCCTCTCTGGGTCTTGGACCCTGAGCTGATCCCCTCAGAGAGCAGGGACCCCTGCACACCCAGCTCCATGCCCTGCCCAACAACAGGGAAGGAAAGTGAGGCAGGGATGGGATCATGGATTCCAACTCCTGCCAAACACTGGGGATGCTCAGTGCCTTGGAGAGCTGCTCTGACTCTGCCTGTGGGCAACTGAGCACACTGGAGATTTGGGGCTGGATTCCTGTCCTTTATTTCTTTCTCTCCAAGCTTTTTCACACCTAAATTTCCTCCCCACCTGCATCTCTGCTGCCTCAGCACCTTCCCATCCCACTGAGGCTTTGGGAATGATCATTGCCCTCAGCACTACCACATTCCTGTCTGCCTGCAGATTTTCCAGTCAGGCATATTCAGGAATCAAATGGATGTGTGCTCCCCTCCTTCCCAGGAAATGCCTGGAAAGCCAAGGGATAACAGGGGGAAGAGCCTCCCTGCCCATCCCACACTGCCTAAACAGGGCAGGCTGGGGAGGAAGGGCAGGGCCAAAGAAAAGGCTGGATCAAGCAGCAAATTACCAGCAAGAAAAAAGATTCAAAACCAAGGAAATCAATCCACAGGTCCAGTTTAGTCTGTCGGTTGGAGTCCAGAGCAGCTGCAGCTGACCCAGAGACCAGTCCTGACATAGCTGAGACTAGGACTGAGACCCCTGGGTTGAGCTTAAAAGAGGTCCTGGGCCATGGGTGGGGGGGAATTGGGGTCCCAGGTGGGGTTGGTGAGGAGCATTCAGGTTTATTAATGCCCTCAGGGTCCTTACAACATCCCTCTGCTTATCATGCTGGAGCTCTGCAAAGGGATTTTTCTTATGAAAGGGATTTTTCCCTTTTCTTTTACTGTCAGGCTATTCAAAATAAGGATTATCTTGAGCTCTGTAATTTTCTGCTTACCGTAGGGATAAGACCTCAGCAGTGAGCTGGTGCTACCCCAGGATGCTCCAAGGGTTCCTCTGGTATCTTGGCACGGCCCCTGCACCCTGGGCTGCATCCTCAGGAGGCTGCTCCTGAGAAGCAGCAGCTCAGGACCGTGACTGGGATGGGGACAGGGGATCCCTGCAGCTGTGGCATCCTGGAGGTCCCTCTGCACCCCTTTTGCCAGGGTGACAATCCATGCTGGCATCAGCCAGCTGCTGAGTGCAACGTGATGAGAGGCTGAGACCTGAGCCGCGCCGATGTGACGCAGAGATGGGCGATGGCACCCAGACTTTCCTTGTATCGGATGCTCCCACTTTCCGTCCTGTTCCCAAGCAGGGCCACCTTGCATGAAAGAAAATATGGAGAGGGCAGGTGGAGGACAGGGGCTCAGGTTACTGCTCCTCTCCAGCTGCCCTGATCTCTGTTAGGAATATGTTTCTGGGGTTTTTTCCCCATTTTCCCAGGTTTGTCTGGGCTCTGTGCTGTGTCCAGCAGCCCTCTGCATTCTTGCCACCACCAGCTCTCCTTTTGGCTGCTCTGCCAAGCAGCTCTTCCAAGATCACACCTCCTGTGGGGTTGGGACCAGGCAAGAGGGTCCCACGGGGATTTGGAAGTCCTCTGGCATGGGGTTGGGATGGCACGGGAATGCTCAGAGAGAAACTGTAATGGGAAAGGGGAAGCAGAAACCACTGCCTGGGTGTGGGTCCTGCTGCAACCACAGTGGCTGCTCAAGAAGGACAGACGGACAATACTCAGTGTGTAATTCCCTTACTCTTATTTTTTCATTGCTCCTGCCTTTCCCATTTGCTTCTTCTTCATTTTAAAAAGGACTCCTCATTCTCTTTTCCAGCTTTTGTTTCCCTGACCCCCCATTGCTGGAGCTGTCTGTGCCTTTGTCCCCCATCCCTGCTTTTCCTCTCCCACCCCACTGAGCTCATTTCAGCTATTCCTTGGCTTGGAGTAACCCATCCACTCTGTTGTCCTCCAACAAATAAGCTGACAGGCTAATGAATAGCTTCAGATGGTAATTAGCAACGGAGTTGCTAATAATGAATTTCATTTACATTTTAAGCGCTGCAGAGGGAAAATAAGCCCCTGTCATTAATGCTCTCCCTGCTCCCAGCACAGCCTTGGCCTTGGGGGGAATGCACCCTCTGGAAGCCTTTCTGTGATTGCACCTCTCCAGCCTCCATTTCGGAGGCTGTGATAGGCAGAGTTCATTAAGCAGCAATTAGTGATGGAGGGGGAGAGAAGCTGCTGCTGCTTCCATCATTCGATGGTGGGGAAGCGCCACGATGCCATGGAAAATGGGCCACAGGAGGCAGGAGCTGGTTCTGGGCCAGGAAAGAAGGGCTGGATGCTTCAGCCAGCACCAGGGACTCACGTGGCTTGCCCAGAGCCCTGGAGCTGTCAGCCCTCCTTGTCCATGTAACCCTCCCAGGCTACCTAGAAAATGACCCTGAGGGGTTTCTCAGTCCCTAAAATCCTTCCCCATTATTTCCTCAGGGGTTTAGCACATTTTGAAGGCAGGGCTTTCCCTGATGGGTTTAATTCATCCCTGCCTGCCCAAGGAAGGAACCAAGTGCCATCTGCATAGATTCCATGAATTGTTATCAAATGGAAAGATGGAGAAATGTCATTGTTTTGTCTCATAGCAGTGAAGAATTCATGGTGGGAGCACAGGGAATAGGTTTGCTCACTACTGCATAGCACCATAAGGGAGTTGGGAATGCTCAAAGCCTGGATCTGGTGCTGGGGGTGAGCCTGGGAGCGTTGCCTGCCCTGCCTCAGTTTCCCTCTGTGTGCCCAAGGAGCCTCAGGGAGGGTTAGATGGATTGGGAATCAATGCTTTGCATCTACAGGGGTTTTCTAGAACACTGCTTGTGCATGGAGGATCCCATCCCATCCCTTCCCATCCCATCCCACAGACCCACCCAGACCCCAATCCAGTGTTTGGACTGGGGGGGGCAGTTCAAAATCCACCACCATTTAGGCAGTGGGATCCACAGAAAGCTGCTTTGGGGACCACAGGGATGTAGCATCCTCCCTGGATAGGAGGTGACAGCCACATCCTGCCTTCACCTCTAAGGACATGGGAGATCGATTTATTTATTTATTTATTTATTTATGTATTTTTTCAAGCCCTGCTAGGAGTGAAACCAATCCAGGGGCCTCCAGAGGCCGATAAGATTTGACTGCAAGTCAATACTCACATGTCTTTCCACTGTGCAATGATCTCCCGGCCAGCGGGGCGGGAGGGGACAGGCAGGTGACAGGGGCGGGCAGAGGGCCAGCCTGGGGCAGGGACGTCGCCTCTGCTCCGGGAAGGGATTGGGGGCAGGAAGGGGACATCTCCTGGCCTGCAACAGGGATTTTCTGGGATTTGTTGCCAGTACATGTAATGGTGAGCCCAGAGTGGGCAGCTCCACATTGGGAGGTGAATGAGGGACAGGGATGGGGAAGGAGGAGGAGCAGGGGAGAGGGAGAGAAATTGCCCGTGAAAACCAGCTCTGCCACGGCATCTGCTCCTCGGAGCTTTGGGAATTGAGAGGTTTCCCTGCCAGCAGAGCCGGGGCTGAGGCTGCAGGGTGCTGGGGGGAGCAGAGCCCTGGCACACTCGATTCACACTCAATGCCATCTGCCAGGCTTTCTCCTGGCTGTGGGTTCCAGTGGCTTCTCTCATGGCTAATAAGGGTCGAGCTCAGACTCCAAAGTACTTCCCAAAGTACCTGCTGCATCTTTGTGCCATCCCTGGACACAGCGTGGCTGGGATTCCGCATCCCTCTGGGAATGCTGCAGGGCAGGCAGGCAGGGTGACATTTGCAGTTAGCAGAGGGTGTCCTTGAGAGGAACGAGCGCCGAGAGAAGGGACCAGGTTCTCTTTAAGGGGGCAGGACTTTGGGAACATTATGAAGGCAAGAGTGAGCTTCTCCCTCTGCCTTCCACCCTCCCCTCCTTCCCTTCTCTGTTCCGGGACAGAGAGCCGGGTTCCCTGCCCTTCCCTTTGCCTGGCAGGGATGAAGGCAGGAGCTGGGTGCTGGGATGGGCGGCTGAGCAGGGGAGGAGGAGGAGGAGGAGGGGAGGAAGGGGAGGGAGAGGGGGAGGATCTGCTAATTACACAGAACAGCTCTGGGGGCTGCTGAAGTCCAGAATGAAGCAAAGAGCAGCAGAAGCGAGTGCTGCAGTGGGAGCGGAGGAGCCCAAGCATCACCGAGAGCTGGAGCCGGCTGTTTTCCCTGCTGGGAACAACTGGGAGCACCCAGGGGATCCTGCAGCCCTGTCTCCCACAGGAGACAGCCTCTGGCACTGCCACCGAGCCCACTGCCAGCCCCTGGAGAGCCGAGGAGAAGGGACTGGTGGTTGCAGCACGCAGGGCTGGGCTGGAGGGCAGCGAGGTCAGCCCTGCTATGGTCGTGGGGGGCTAGGAGCCTGTGTGCATCCACCGGGAAGAGGTGAAGGATGGCTACTGAAGGAGGGAGAGCCAAGCCCCTTGCCCAGTCCAGGATGGAGAACTTCCGAAAGGTGAGGACCTCGGAGGAGGAGATGCCATTACCCTTCCCAGACCTGCCCCCGGATGTGGTGGAGATGAAAGTGAAGGAGGGCAGCAAGATCAGGAACCTGATGAACTTCGCCATGGCCCAGATGGAGCTGAAGGGCAGGCGGCAGATCGTGTTCAGCGGCTGCGGCAGGGCAGTCACCAAGACCATCACCTGCGTGGAGATCATGAAGCGCAAGCTGGGAGGGCTCCACCAGGTCACCAAGGTACGCTACAAAACCGTGCTGGAGGTCTGGGAGAGCCAGGACCCGCCGCCCCACGGCCCCGCACAGAACCTGACTGTCCACAAGAACGTCCCCTCCATCTGCATCCTGCTCTCCCGGGACCCCCTGGATCCCAACCAGACGGGATATCAGCCCCCCGAGCCCCGGCACGAGGCAGGAGAAGACACATTGGGATCCTCCAGCAAGGGGCTGAAGCGGCCGCTGCCGCCTCCCTGTGAGGAGCTGCTGCCCAAGAAGCTGCAGGTACAGGTGTCTGACAGCCCCAGGGGCACGGGGACCACCACTGGCCAGCAGGACCCCTGACCCCAGTGCCTCCCACCCCACCTGCCAGGTATGGAGGCAGGAATATCCACTCATTCCGGGGTCACTGGTGGGCTGCAGGCTCCCCCTGACCTGTTCCCACTTGCTGCTCCTTGACCCCTGCGGATGGGGGTCCCCAGATTTGGCATGAGGGTTAAACCCACCATGTCTTGGTTATGGATTGAAGCAGGTGAGCATGTGGGGGGGGGAGCTGGTGACCTCTAATTCAGCCACCCAGGGACACTGTGACCACCAGCCACATCCTGCAGTGACTTCCAGGGAGCCAGAGCAGCCGAGGGGTGCCTGGACCACCACCACCGCTCCCCACTGCAACGCCTCATCCGTCAGGAGAGATGGGTTTGCCCCAAGCTTGTTGGAATAAAACCTTCATTATCAAACCTGCTGCTGAGGAGCTGTTGGAGTTATTAAGGCCAGGGTCAGCATCCTGTGAGACTGTGATTCATCCCAAAAAAAACAAGCACAGGGGTGCTCCCTCCCTGCAGCCTCAGAGCTGAGCACTGCACTGTGCTGACTGCCTGTGGGACAGCACAAGGAAATAAAACAACTCACATCGGATATCTGGTCTGGAGTGGGGGGAAACCACGCTGTGGGGAGCTGGGGGCAGTGGAAGTGTTGGGTGGGGGGTTATTGTGACTGGATGCAGTGCCCAGCACAGGATGAGGAGGTTTTGGGGTCATGCCTTGGCTGCCGAGTGCTTTGGCGCAAAATCCCTGCTACTTCCAGGGGGTAAAGAGAAATGAATGGAAAATAAAAGCTCTTTAGAAATAGTTGAGATATGTCTATGGGAAAATGGGGGGATCATCTTGGCTGCTGGCTGTGGCATGGATCAGCACAGTGAAGGCTGCTGCCAGCTCACAACAAGGGGATCCCAGCCAAACTCTGTCCCTTGGAAGAATGGGATTGGGGTCTCCTGTGCCGGCACAGCAGCACCTGGCAAAGCCCCAATTTCAGTGGGGACAGGGGAGATTTGGGGGACAGGTTATGGGATGCCAAACCTTGATCCACCTTGTTCCCTCTGCCCAGTGCCCAGCAGCACTGCAGGATGAATTAATCGGTATTAAGAGCAAACCCTTCCCAAAATCCACGTGTGAGGGATTCTCTGGCTGCAGCTGCCTTATCTCCCTGCCTCACTCCTGCTCTACAGGGACAGTCGGCGTTCTCTCTTTGTCAAGGGCTTGCTTGGCTGGGAGCGGGAATGAAAGGAGAGGAGGAGGAAGAGGAGGAAGCAGGGTCTGTTTTGTGAGGCAGTGACCTTGTTATCTCCCTCAGCAGGCAGCTGCTCCTCGGGCCAGAGGCTCGTGCTTATCTGTCCTTTTGCAGATTGATTCCCTTCACTCAAACATTAATTTCCAACGGTTTTTTAATGTTAATGAACATTTTTTGGTGGGTTTGGGGATGGTAAAGCTTTGGGCTCTGTACCAGCCAGTTCTTCCCAGTTCCTTTCTCCAGTGCAGACCCCATTCAAGATCAACCCTCCACCCCACACAGTAGCACCAGGTACAGGCATCTACCCCAAATGCATCCAAAATCACTAATAAAATTGATTTTAAACGCTGTAATTAATAAATCCCTCTGTAAACACCTGATCAGAGCCTGAAGACTGTGAGAGCCACACAGTTAAACACTAACAGCCCTTCACCTCCATTGCTGCCACCTCACATTTCTCTGATCAAGGGAAAAAAAGAATGAAAACCACCTATTTCTCCTTATTTTGTTAATTTGCAAGATGTTTTTAATGGATTTCATAGGCAGGTAGTTTCCAATGACAGAGACAGCACTGGGGATCTTACCCTCATTGCTTTGCTGGCTGATGGCTTCCGGCATAAGAAAATAATAAAAAATCACTGGAAAAAAAAATTAAAACAGGGTGATGATACCGGGGGACATGGTGAGTAGAATAATCACAATGGTTTTGTGGTTTTGTGCAGCACTGCTAAGGCACAGCCCAAGGGACGAGTTTTGGAGCGATTTTCCGGTGCCCAGGCCGGTGCGATGGTGGCTGAGGGCAGCAGCCCCCGGTGAGGGGACAGGGACGCTCTCAGAGAACTGGAGCTGGCAGATGAGCCGGTCTGAGCTCATTTCCCTCACAGGGATCGAGTGCGGCGGCTGTCCATTGACAGGGACGGGAATGCTACGCGGGCTCGGCTAAATGGGGACAGCAGCAGCCCGAACCCCTCATAAACGAGCTCAAACACGCCCGAAAACTGCCTCGGCGACCTGAGGGGGACCCCCATAGCCGCTCCCCTCACGCACAAAATGGCGGCCGGCCCCGCCCCAAGATGGCGGCGGTCCCGCCCCGCCGCGCCCCCAGCCCGTCCCCGCCGCGCCCCCAGCCCGTCCCCGCGGCCTCCCGCCCTTCCACGCTCCCGCTCCGTCCCCGCCGCGCCGCCGTACCCGCCTCAGCGGCCCCCCCCGGCCCTCACCTCCGTCCCTCCTTCCCGGTGGGGTGCGGGAGCCAGCGGCGCGCGCCCCCGGTTGCCGGTGCTGTCTCCTCCCTTCACAGCCCGCCGCCATGCTGGCCGCCAGCGCCTCTCTCCTCCGCCGCTGCGCCGTCTCCGGCCTCCGCGCCGCCGTCCGCCGGCCTGCCGGCCCAGCAGGTGAGCGGCTGCGCTCGTCTCCGTCCTTCCCGCCGCGGTTGGCGCCCGGGTTCCCGGTGTGGAGGGGAGCGAGGCCGCGCGGCCCGGCGCGTCCTTGCGGTGACCCCGCGGCCTAGCACGAGCCGCCCCCGCCGCTCCGGCCGCCGCCACCGGGATCCCCCCGCCGGCACCGCCTCAGCGGGCACCGGGCACCGCCCGGGGGCTGCAGCGAGAGGCGGCGGCGCTTTCCCTGCGCCCCCCGCCAAGGTGACATTGATGGAGGGCGGCGGTGACCTCCGCAGCACCGGGACGCCGGCCAGCCCCGGCCCCGCTGCAGCTCCGCGCCGGCCCTCACCCTCCTAATTAACACCGCAGTTATTTTTATTTGTTATATTAACGCCACAGTTAATAGAGAGAGTAGGAGGACCAGCCCCAGGCAGCGGTCTGTGATGGTGGCCAGGGTGGCAGGGCTGGAAGACGGAGGCTGTAGAGAATGCGCTGCCTGTGCATCGCAATTAATAGCTAATTAACTTCTTCATCGCAATTAATACCTAATTAGCAGACACTAATAATGCTCGGAGACCTGTGTGTGCCTCTGCTGCGGCACGTGTGAGTTAAACAACTGCCTTAGGGAGCCTGTCACTGCGTCTTTTTAAATAATAAGCACAGGATTTCTTAGATGCTGCTCAGCACCTTTGATCTTTTGTTATTTTGAATCCACTAAAATCTTTGCTCGCTGTTCCTTTGAGCTGCTGAACCCCGGCTGCTCCTGGGCTTTGTTTCCAGGAGGCTCCGTGTTCTTTTTTTCCAAGCTCTTGTGTTTCAAACACCCCACTTAACACTGCTGCCACCCTTTTGCAGGGGGGTTCTGTTGCTGCAAAACTTCCCCTGGGCTCCTCGTTCTCAGATTTTCAGTAAATTAATGTTTTATCTTCACACGTGCTTTGCTTCTGTGCTCATTACTGGAGAAAACTGCCCAATTTTGGCCCTCACAGAGAAGCTTCAACATGTTTTTGTGTCATGTTAGGTGATTTTATGCTTAATTCCTGTTAAGTTCACTTTAAAGCAAAGGTGCTTGCCCTTTGGTTCTTCCTTGAGCTGGGAATCTCTGCCTGGATAGGTTGGCTGTCACACACACGTCATGTGTGTGACAGTGACCTTGATGGACCCTGCTGAAGCTCAGGCCAGAGGGACTCTGCAGGCACACATAGAAACATGAATGTGGAAAAGAAACATAGCAGCAATTGAGAAACACACCCTGGAAAGCCAGAGCTTTAATTCTTATGGTCTGTATTTGCCTCCTGGATCCAGGAAATGATTTTGTTGAGGAAAGACTTCAGATTTTGACTTAAAGATGGTATTTGAGCGCTTCAATTTAGGCTTTTCTCCAGCTGAGATTTGCTGGTTTTTGCAGGATTTTTTTTTTCTGTGTAAGAAAAATAAGGATTCTCCTTCAGCCAGCTGAAACCTGGAAGGTTTTCAGCAGTGTCCTGGGAGCAGGAGCATTTCCAGAGCCCTGCTCTTGCTCTGAGCTCAGCTCTGCAGGTGATTTGTTGCAAAGAGCAGGGTCAAAGGTCTACTCTGGAGCTGGGGAAAGGAGGGGGAATTTCCCTACAAGGAACCAAAAGAGCATTTTAATTTTGTCTTGGCCTGTTGTTAACTTTTCCATAGCTAAAATAAATAAAGCTATTTTCATGCTTCCATTGCATAAACCAGTATTGCAGCTGAAATGTTGGACAAGGTTACATTTTGTTAAAAAAGCAAATTTCCTGCTAATTAGGCTGCCATTAATGAAACCAAAGAGAAGTATATCAGCAAAAGTACAGCCCAGTTGTGGTGTTGGGTTTTTTTGTTTTGGTTTTAAATAAAACCCTGTCGTTGATCACTGTGAGTGATTCATGCTGGGTTAAGAAAGAAAAAGTCAGGAGCTAAATTTGACTTGTGTGAAGCAGAGCTTTGAGCTCCAAGGTTGTATCTGGTGTGTGACCTCTCTGCAAATATTAGTGGAGTGAGATTAGCAGTGGGGAAAGGAAGCACCAGGCTTGTGGTCCTTCAGTTTAGTTCCCTTAGAAAACTGTTCTAACCTTTGTGGGGTAAAAAAAGACAGGTTCACCCAAAAAACCAAAATTTGTGATAGTGCTGAGTGAAGAAACAATGATCCTATCAGACTAATTTGTGTGTTAGCATACAATCTGCTTTTGTGATTAGTTATCAAATATTAATGCAATTGCAACCTTGAGATCCAGCAGTTTTTCTCTTGGATAGTTTTCTCTTGGATAGATACCTTGTGATCATTTTTTTCCTCCTCCAGCCCTTCTGTTGGAAGGAATATCTCTCATCCCTTTGCTTTTGAGAGCCTCTCTAGGAATCGCATGGAATTTTGTTGGTGAGGAACGTGCATGTTAAAGCTTCTCAGTCTCACTTGGCTGTGGGAAGAGGAAGAATTCCTGTATTTTACAGAAAAAGGAATGCCAGAAAACCTCTTCAGAGTAGGTTTTTGTGTGTTTTTGCCATGCTCTGACCAATGCTCTGGGAACACTTTGGAAGTCTGACATGGAAAAAAGCAGACACTTTGCTACAACATAAACCACGATATTTAATAAGTTACATCCACCCAGGGCTCATCCAGGACTGACTATAACAAGGCAATCCATGTTTTATGGAGGCTTCTGGCCTCTTGGTCAGGACTGAAGCAGTGTTATGTTCCTTTTGCTCCAAGTTTGTTCCTTTTTTCCTGCACTCCAGCTGTGCTTTCTGCTCGCTGCTACTCTCACGGGTCACAAGAGTCAGATGAAGAATTCGATGCTCGCTGGGTGACGTATTTCAACAAGCCAGATATCGATGCCTGGGAGCTCAGGAAAGGTAAGTTGGAGATCAGGGAAGCATAACCTGGGGTAAATAGAAGTTTTCTGACCAGAAATAACAACTTTAGTTGGTGTTTTGTGGACTCCTCATCCCTGGAAGTGTCCAAGGCCAGGGCTTGGAATAACCTGGTCTAGTGGAAGGTGTCCCTGCCTGTGTTGGTGTTTGTAGGGGTCTTAGGATGAGGGAAGAGGTGAGAATCTTGACTTTATGTTTCAGAAGGTTGATTTATTATTTTATGATATATATTATATTAAAAGAAAATTATATACTAAAACTATACTAAAAGAATAGAAGAAAGGATTCCATCAGAAGTCTAGCAAGGAAAAGGAAAAGAATGATAATAAAATCTTGTGACTGACCAGAGTCCAAGACAGCCAGACTGTGATTGGCTATTAATTAAAAACAACCACATGAGACCAATCAAAGAGGCACCTGTTGCATTCCACACAGCAGATAATTAATGCTTACATTTTGTTTCTGAGGCCTCTCAGCTTCTCAGGAGAAAAATCTTAGCAAAAGATTCTTCATAAAATATGTCTGTAACACATGCCCATGATAGAACGGTGGACTAAATGATCTCTGAGGTCCTTCCAACTCAAACCATTCCATGATTCCATGATTTTAACATCTGGATGGGAGGGACAGTAGCATTTGCTCCAAGGACAGTGTTTTTGAGCTCTGCTATGCTCATTTTTCTTTGGACTTTGGCTAATGGCTTGGCCATAACTCCCTGCAGACTTTTTGTGTGGCTGTCTCCAGTTTTTTGCTGAGGAGTTGCCAAGTTTTATTAAATTTACCCCATTTTTTGGGGCAGTATAGGGCTGGGGGTATCTGTAGGGCAGTGTGGGGTGTGAGCACGGGGGTTATGGGGCTGGGGGTATCTGTAGGGCAGTGTGGGGTGTGTGCACAGGGGTTATGGGGCTGGGGGTACCTGTAGGGCAGTGTGGGGTGTGTGCACAGGGGTTATGGGGCTGGGGGTACCTGTAGGGCAGTGTGGGGTGTGTGCACAGGGGTTATGGGGCTGGGGGGTACCTGTAGGGCAGTGTGGGGTGTGTGCACAGGGGTTATGGGGCTGGGGGTACCTGTAGGGCAGTGTGGGGTGTGTGCACAGGGGTTATGGGGCTGGGGGTACCTGTAGGGCAGTGTGGGGTGTGAGCACAGGGGTCGTGGGGCTGGGGTATGTCCATGGGGCAGTGTGGGATAGGTGTGTGGGGCAGTATAGGAGCAATACAATGTGACAGTTCATCTTTTAAGGCCCATTATGCCTTCAAAATGTGATTTCATAAGCAGATAATTGCAGCCAGAGGGATCCTTCCAGCAGCACCTGCCTGATGAGGTGCTGAGTTTTTCTGTCAGAGAGGAAGGGAGCAGACAGCAAGGGGCTCCTTTTGAGATCATGACAAGCTGGTTCCCAGTTCCCCTTGGTGTTCCCTTGTCTCCACAGGCATCAACACACTGGTGGGCTACGACCTGGTCCCGGAGCCCAAGATCATCGACGCGGCTCTGAGGGCCTGCAGACGGTTAAATGACTTTGCCAGTGCTGTCCGCATCCTAGAGGTTGTAAAGGTGGGTGGAACTGCCCTGTTCCCATTGCCAGAGCCTGCCAGCAGGGCAGTTTTCCCTGCTGCAAAGGGAAACCACCATCAGTGGCTCCATGATGAGCACAAAGCTTGCTGGTTTCTTGGGAGACTGAGAGAAGTAACTCAGAAAGCTCTCTTGGGAAACACCTGAAACCAACTCCTTGAAACCTGAATCCAGCCTGGCCAGGGAGTTCAGAGAAGCCAGGACTTTTTTCAGCCCTAGAGGCCAGGAGCTCTGCTCTGCCACAGGCAGAAGTGGGAGGCTTTGGAAATGTGTATTTTGGAGTAACTCCATTCTTTGTTTTTTGGGATTTTTTTTTTTTTTCAGGACAAGGCAGGACCCCACAAGGAAATCTATCCTTACGTTATCCAGGAGCTTAGACCAACTTTGAGTGAACTTGGAATCTCCACTCCAGAGGAACTGGGCCTGGACAAAGCATAAACCTTGTTGGTAAGATTTGGTGTTGCTTCCCAGACTCTTGGCATGGGAGTCCTGTACACCAAACCCCCTGGCAAAGACAGCATAGGCAAGACCTAATGTGCCCTAATCCCAGACTAAAATAAAGCCCTAAATAAAAATCCTCATGGAAGTGAAGCTTCTTAACTCAGTTTCCTCAGGAGATAACCAGTGTCATATTCTTTTTTTAAATATTATGCCTGGAATAGAGATACTGTGTGTCAGACTGCTGCAAATAGTGCTTGATTCTGGATATTTTAAGTCCTTTTCCTCCTCCTTGCCCTGGGATACAATGTCCTGGTGCCAGGGGTCCTGAATCAGCTGTGCTGGGAATGCAGTACCTGCATTTTTGAGCTGAGCATGATTAAATAAGGCTTTGGAGGTAAAAGGGATGGAAATAACTCATTTGGGACCTCATGGAAACTTTGTGGAGCTTCTAGTCTGCTTCTTTAATGGTTTTTTTTTTTATTTTTCCCCTGTTATTTTCTATGCCAGGTGGATCACTCAAGCGTTCTGCTGATGCTACCAGATTGTACACAGTCACTTGGAGAGCCAAACTTTAAATCTTACTTGACATAACTTCTTCCTTTATTGAGTCACAGTGGAAGTGCTGTGGAGTTGGGCCTAATAAAGGAAAACCTGGTTTGACTCATGTGGTACCAGTGCCTCGTGTGGTCATTTCCTGTTGCTTTTGTAGGGAAAAACAAAGAACAAACCATAAATGAGCTCGTAGGAGCTTCTAAATTGTTGCTTTCTCTGCAAAGCTCGTGCCCAGAGCCTTCTCATGCACGTGGCTCTGGGAGGGGAAGAGCAGGAGCTGTGTGGAGAGGAGAGCATGGTTCCTTGTAATGCACAGCTTTGGGGAGGAGGCATTTCCCTGAAATCATGTCCAAAGCCTCAGATGTGGGCTGGGGGCTCCTGTTTGCAAGGGTCGTGTCCTCACCAGGAAGGGGATCTGTTCTGGGGATACTGTCCCTGTTTTCCACTCAGCTCTGGCCCAGGCAAAGGTTTGGGAAATAAAATAAACCATCAGAAGCAGGTGGGAGGAGAAGGGAAATCTTCATTCTGTTGTTATTTTCCTCCTAGAAGAGGGGAATTTTTTGGGAAAACAGGAATTTGTTTCTGTACAGTGGGCTCAGGGCAAGAGCCGTGTTGTGTCCCACAGTCCCATCCCATCCCACTGTTTCATCCATTGCAAGACTTTTTCAGTTCCTGTTCATTTCTCCTCCTTCTTTTTAGATGTATAGAAAGGGTGAGATACGGGAATGTGCCCCCTGTTGACGGAGTGACAAAACTATGCTCTGTCCCCTTAAAAAGAAAAGAAGCTCAGAAGTTTCTGTCCTCGATTAGGTGAAAAATGCATCTCATAGGCCTGGGAACTTCACCTCACATTTAAGGATAGCCAATGGGACAGGAGCCAAAAAGTCCCGCCTGAGCAATTTACTAGAAAAAGAAGAGAACAAACAAACAATTGGCTTTTGTGAGGTGTTTTACCAAGAGCAAGAACCTCTCCCACCTGGCTCGATTTTTCTCTGTAAAGAGTTTATTATTTTGCCTTGTATTGGAACATTTTTGTTTCCAACACTGCAACAGAAGCCATCCTGGTGCTGATTTTAGACCTCCAAAAGTGGCTGGAGCTATCTTGAGTGTGAAATAGACCTCCAAGAGCTTATGGGACCTGTCTCGAAAAGTCTCCTATTTCAATCCATGGTCCTGTGCCGCAGTCCCTGTGTCCCGTCCCGCTCTCCGGTCCCGTCCCGCTCTCCCGCCCCGCTGGCCGGTCCCACCGCGCATGCGCGGCAGAGGGGCGCGCCCTTTCCCCGCCTCCCATTGGCTGAGCCCCGCCGGCCCCGCGCTGCCATTGGCGGGAGGGCCATGGGGCGGGGCCAGGGGCAGCCATGGCGACGGGCGGCGGCGGAGCCGGGCCAGGTCCCGGTGCCGGTCCTGGTGCCGCTGCCAGCGGAGCCGCTGGCCGGCGGGGCCCGGGGGTACGTGCGGTGTACGGGCGTGCTGGGGCTGCGGGGCTGGGAGGCGAGCGTGGGGCTGGGAGGGGTATGTGCATTGTGGGTGTGGGGATGTGTGGGGTATCTGTATGAGGCTATGGGGCTGTGTGGGATATTGCATGGAGCTGTGTAGGATATCTGCCCGGGGCTATGGGGCTGTGTGGGATATCTACATGGGGGTATGGGGCCATGTAGGATATCTGCATGGGGCTGTGTGGCTGAGGAGAGTGTGGGGCAGTGTGGGGTGTGTGCACAGGGGTTATGGGGCTGGGGGTATCCGTAGGACACTGTGGGGTGTGTGCACAGGGGTTATGGGGCTGGGGGTATCTGTAGGGCACTCTGGGGTGTGTGCACAGGGGTTATGGGGCTGGGGGTACCTGTAGGGCAGTGTGGGGTGTGTGCACAGGGGTTATGGGGCTGGGGGTATCTGTAGGGCAGTGTGGGGTGTGTCACAGGGGTTATGGGGCTGTGGTATGTCCATGGGGCAGTGTGGGGTAGGTGTGTGGGGCAGTATAGGAGCAATACAGTGGGACAGTTCATCTTTCAGAGCTGCAGACAGGGAAGCACAGTAGTGTATACAGTGTATAAATATAAATATAAAAATAATTTTATATATATGTACACACACAGAGGTGTATCAGCACAGCATCAGCTGGCTAGGAAGGGGTATGGCATATCCAGAGGGATCTAGGGGGGCACTGCCTGCCTGGTCATTCCCACTATAAAGCTCTGTCCTGCTAATTCCAGCTTAAGACACTGAGGCTAATCCTGGCCGTGCTCTGCAATCACCATCCCCAGTCCTCTGCTGTGTTCCTTTAATTCCATGTCCCTCCTGTGCCAACTCTCTCTGATTTTCCCTTTATTTTTTTCATTACTTCTTGTGTTTGTGGAGGTTTTTTCCTCCCCCTTGCCCTTAGGAGCATTGGTTCTCCTTGACAATAACTGGATAAAAGGAGAAGCTTGGAAACCCCAAATTAAAAATACACAATCCTTACATTTATGTTTGATTAACCTCTCTGGAAATCTCCTCTACCACCTTTTCCCAAGTATTACTGCAGCCAGGCTTACACAGGAACTGTGATGGTGACTACCTGTGCTTTTAATTAGCACCACCATTCCCAAATAATCCTCTCATCTGCTATCAGATCTGCTTATTCCTTTTCCTCTCCCTCCTCCTGGGCTGGGGAGGAGGAGCTGTCCCTGGGGACACATTTCCCTGGGAGCAGATTTCCCTGCTGACCTTGAGCTCCCAGGAAGGATCAAATGCTCTGAGATGACTCTGCTTTACTTCATCCCCGTGGAGAGGTGCTAAATGTTTCTTCCATTCTTTTTTTAGCTGATTTGGGCTGAAAAGAAGAGGCTGAACAAAGGGACAGATGTGGTGGAGAAAAGAGGTCCATACATCATGAGCAAACCTCCCTCCATCCAGGCCAAGCTGAGTAAGTGATGCTTGATGCACTCTGCTGGGATTTTGGGTGTCATTCCCACCTCTCTCCCAGAGCTGGGGTTACCAAAAGCCCTTTTATTCCTTGGTGGGATAAAACCTTTATAAAGCCCCATTAAAACCCCATTGGGAAAGCACTGCACTGCACCCAGGCTCACCTGCACCACCCTCCTCACCCATTCCCCAGAAGAAGAACCCCTTTGGGAGCATTTGGAGATTTTTCCTCTGTGTCCCTGTTCTTGGCTTGCAGAGAGGCAGCGGGAGCTGGCAAAGGCAGCGCTGCGAAGGCAGGGGCTGCTGGGGGCACCCACTGCCCTGAAACCAACTCCTAAAAGGTCTGATCTCCTCCTCCTCTTTTCAAAATGCCTTTTTCACTTTTCTTGGGGAGACTGGGAAACTCAGAGGATTAAAAAGAAGAGTTTGGGACCTTATTCTGCTGGCTCTGTTTGGCCAGGAACACCCAGTATAATAAAATATACTGATTTTCTCTCTGTTTTGGGCATGATTTAGTGGTATGGATTTATTTGGGTATCCTGGGGTTTAGCTGGTGGTGGGAAGGAGTGAGATCCCTGCCCTGGCTCCTCAGCCTGTCAGCTCCGTGGATGTGTTTGCACATAAAACATCTGTGCTGGTCTCCCTCCTGCATTTCTTGGCAGGTCTGTGAAGTTCAACAAGGGCTACACGGCGCTCAGCCAGAGAGCTGATGAAAACCTGGTCTCCCTCGACTCAGACAGGTGAATAGCCCAAGATTTTCAGTAAATATCCCACGATTTTGAGGGTGGGGGTTCTCCCAGATGGCTTTTTGGGGGGGTTGATTTTCCTTGTCAGTTGTAGAGCATCCTTGGTGGCACTGGGCAGCTCAGGGCAGCGAAACACTCCTGCTGTCCCAGATTTCAAATACTCCTTGGGGTTACACTGCCAGCTCCTTTTTTCCCCCAAATTCCCCTTATCTACACCCTAAAGCCCCCATTTCCTGGCCAGCTCTGTTTCTTTTTCCCCTCAGTGATGGGGAGCCAGGATCCAGGTGTTCCTCAGGATACTCCTCTGCTGAGGCAAGTGCGGGGCTCTGACTGTGACACCATGGGGTCCCCAGGGGCTCCCTCGTCCCCCTGACCCCTCGAGGCTCTGGCTGGGGCTGGAAGCATCACCCCCAGGGCGTGGATGTGTGTCCATCCTGCAGAGCTCTGCTTTGTCCCCTGCAGCAGGTGACCCAGGACCTGAGCCGGCAGCTGCTGCAGGATGGGTACCACCTCGACGAGGTCCCCGATGATGAAGACCTGGATCTCATCCCCCCAAAACCTGCTGCCTCCTCTTCTTGCCCCTGTTGTTTTGGAGAAAATCTCTCCTGTGTGATCCAGTAGCTGCACAAGAACAGGTCAAAATCCAGCACTTTCTTTGTCCCGTGGATGGCTGGTGGGTGTCCAGGTCCCGTGCCAGGACGGTGACACAAGGACTGAACTGAACGATGCTGCTCGTGGCAGAGACCAACTGACTCCAAAAGACTTCTCCTTACACTCAGCAATACCAGGGGGCGGTGGCACAGTGACATTTTGGTGACCTGCATGGGACCTCGCACTTGGCTGGGGTGGGAAGAGAGGACAGGCAGGGCCTGGCACCTTCACAGGGGTATTAAGGGAAGGATTTGGGAGTTTCTGGGGTTGGAGCTAATGGCTTATTCCCATTCTCCTCAACGCTGCTTTGATGCAGGTGAGGCACAGCCCAGGCCCCCATCCCAGCTCTGCACAGGGCTTGGATTTGGGGGGCTGGAGAGCCTCCCTCCTGCAAACCATAAACGCTGCCTTAAACCATGGTCCTGCTCTATGACATAGAGGACAATCAGCTTCTTATACAGAAACCTTATTTAAATATTTCATGTCAAGAGACATGAATTGGTTGGGTGGGGGGCATGTTTGTTTGTTTTTGTATCTTACTTGTAAAAGGGAGCACTTAATAAACTGGATCTCATTACTCAGAAGGGGTGCTGGTGCTGTGAGGGGGACTCCTGTCTTCTCTCATCACATTTTACTCTTTTCCTGTGCCTGAGGAGCAAGGGGGGGAATAACAGCCAGCGCTGGGGGGATGCTGGAGCTGCTCCCAGCCTCTCTGTCCCCCTCCATCCTCCTGCTCCCTCCACCACGCTGCCCTTCGCCAGGGACAAAGTCACTTCTTTATTCACAGCAGCAGAGGCTCTCCTGCTCCATCATCCCCCAGGCAGCCCCCTTTTACAGCCAGGGAAGGGGGACACTGGCTGCCATCAGCCAGGCTTGGGAAGAGCCCACCAGAAGCAGCAGAAAGCCTGTGGTCTGCACCACCTCCAAGGAGCTGATCCACAGAACTGCTCTTTCTATACCTCAGGGCTGCTTTAAGGGTTTAACAGGTGGAGGGAGACCTTTCAAGCGAGAAGACTTTGCCCACAGCAGTTTCTATCTACTCAAACATGGAGTGTTGTGGTGGAAGTGTCCCAGGCGCTGCTCAGAGGAGGCAGCAGGCTCGGAAGAGCAGCATCCCTTCGGGTGAGGAGAGGTGCAGGGAGATGCTCTCGTTGGCCGACACGAAGAGCACGGAGCCACGGCGCAGGGACATCTCTGAGGCTGCCGCTGTGGAGGTGCCCACGGCTGTCCCTTGGATCACCAGCAGGATGCTGGCAGAGTCCATGGCAGAGATGAGGTACAGCTTGATGGAGGCAGGGATCTGCCAAGGGAAATGTCACTGTGTTGGGGTGTCCCTCAGCTTTCCTCCTCTCTGCAGAGCTGGAAGGGGGTTGGCCCCACTCCCACCCCTTTGCTGTGCCTGCAGCAGCCCAAACCCAGGGAACTCAGCTTGGCTGAGGAAACCCAAGGCCTCTTCCTGGTTCTCCCTCTGCCCAGAGCTGCTGGAGAAGGTGAACAAGCTCCAGGGAGGGATAAAGAGACCAGCACCCCATTATGCCCAAACATCCCGCCCACCTTGCCAGGACACTGATAACAAAGGTGTGTGAGCCCCAGCCAGCACTGGTGTGTCCCACCCGGTGTCCCCAGCACGGAGCTGTCACCTCTCACCTCTATCCTCATGATGGTGAAGTCTGGCACAGGTGGGTCGTAGAGGTAGACGTGGGGATCGAGCTGGCTCTGCGTTGCCGGGAGGATCTTGGAGCTGCTGGGTGCTGGTGTGTAGTTGAGCATCTCACACAAAGTGAGCACATCAATGAACTTGGGCGTGAGCCCGGCGCGTACCGTGTTGTCCGAGCACGCCATCACCTCCACGCAGTCTGTGGGGACGGGGCAGCGCCGTCAGCCCAGCCCAGCCCAGCCCAGCCCTCGGTCCAGCCCTCAGCACAGCCCAGCCCTCAGCCCAGCCCCTCCTCCCGTCCCCACGGCCCGGCCTTGCAGGATGCCGGGCTTAGGAGAGCCCCCCTGACGCTCACCTCCGTGCAGGTAGGCGTGGGGCTCGTTGGCTCCCAGGAACATGGCCTCCCCTGGCTCCAGCCTCACCAGGTTCAGGAAATAAATGGTGAAGCAGCCGATGTCCCCCGGATACTGGGAGTGCAGCCGCAGCAGCAGCTCCCCGTTGCTCCCTGACGTGTCCTTCCCTTCCGCCGCTGCGCAGGACAGACCCAGACCAGTGTGGGGAGAGCCTCAGCCTCTCCCCAAACACAGCCCCCCGAACTGGTTTGGGGTGTCACAGCCAGCACCCACCTTCCTGGGAGATCCTCTTCACCAGCATGTTCAGCTGGTCCACGAAGAACTTCTTCTCGCTCTTCATGAGGCGGGTGAAGCACACGCGGAGCGCGGCCGAGACCCCGCGGGGGTCGTCGCTGCCGCTGCGCTCCAGCTGCTCCGCGGCCACCTCCCCGATCAGGGCCCGCAGCTCGGGGACATCTGCGGGGCCAGCGCCACTCAGAGCCAGCCCCAGGCCAGGGGAGAACAGCCCTGGCCAGGAGCAGCACCCCCATCCCAGGAGAGCACAGTCACCGTCCCCACGGCGAATCCCATCCCTGGGAGCGCTGCCCGCACCCTGAACCCCATCCCAAGGGAGCATGGCCACCATTCCCACACCAAAGCCCATCCCAAGGGAGCAGGGCCACCATCCCCACCCCAAACCCCATCCCAAGGGAGCATGGCCACCATCCCCACCCCAAACCCCATCCTAAGGGAGCATGGCCACCATCCCCATCCCGAAGCCCATCCCAAGGGAGCATGGCCACCATCCCCACCCCAAACCTCATCCCAAGGGAGCAGGACCCTCATCCCCCCACCAAAGCCCATTGCAAGGGAGCAGGACCACCATCCCCACACCAAAGCCCATCCCAAGGAAGCATGGCCACCATCCCAAACCCAGAGCCCATCCCAAGGGAGCAGGGCCATCATCCCCACCCCATGGCCACCATCCCCACTTCGGAGTCTGACCATGCACCCTCCTCCACCCTTACTCTGGAGGAAGGAGACAATCTCCTCCACAGGCCGGAAGCCACACATGCCCTCGAAGGGGGTGAGGGCGATGGCCATTTCGGGCTTGTGGTTGGCATCGGGATAGTGCTCAGGGAACTGGGCATGGAGCTTCGCTGCCAGCTCCTGCAGAGAGGGAACAGGAGCTGCCTGAGCTCCCCAGGACACAGGATGTGCCTGGGCTGCCCACACCGGGCTCTCCCTACCTTGTTGGGGTGTGCCTGGACAGACAGGGCGGTGTTGACCGACAGCACCTTGAACAGGAAGGGCAGGTGTCCCTGGAAGGCGTCCTTCACCTTGGCCCCCAGGCAGGCGGGGTTGTCGGCGATCCACTGGCCCAGGGTCTTTTGGGGGATGCGGTTATCCCGGATGAGGGCATCTCCCCGGGGGTGTGTGCCCATCCACAGCTGCCAGACACCAACACACACAGCTGGCACCCCGAGCCGAGCCGGGCAGCCAGCACGGATGACTTGGGCTTTTCCAGGGAGGTGATCCCTGGCAGCTCCCTCGGGGGCTGAGTCATGCCGGGCTGCCCTCCAAGCCAGGGGGACACGGGACAGCTGAGGGGCAGCATCGTGTCCCGGTAGGACACAGGATGGTGAGAGCCACCACGGGCGCGGGGTGGGATGAACACACGGATGGGACGAACACACGGACAGAATGGACACAGAGACACACTCACCTCAGCGTAGGGCTGGTCAGGCTGGATCTGGACCAGGGGGTCAGCGCTAGCCACCAGCTTGGCCACCTCGCTCTCCAGGCCCACCTTCCCCCAGGAATAGTTCTGCACCACGCAGGACAGGGGGAACACTGCGGGAGGGAATTCAAGTGTTAGCGGGGCACAGAAAGAACCCCCGGAAATCCTCCCGCACACGCACAGAGCCCGCGGGGCAGGGTGACAGGATGGCAGGGAGGGAGAACACCACGGCCTTGGCAGGGGACACTCTGTGGGGACGATTTTCAACCATCACACGGCGATCTGGGGGTGCCCGGGCTGGGGGCACGACTCACGGGCCCTCCTCCCCATCGCCCGGGGGGTCCCGGAGGGGGTCCCGGTGTCCCATCGCGGAGCCCATCCCCGGGCGTGCGGGCGGTGGTGCCCGGTGCCCGTGCCCCGCTCACCGCGGATCTCCGCCATGGCTCGGCCGGGCAGGACCTGCCCCCCTCCCTCACCGCCCCCCCGCCGCCGCCGCCGCCGCGCCTGACGTCACGCGGCCACGCCCACCGGGTTAACCCCGCGCGAGCTGTGCGCGCCGCCGTGACGTCACGCGGCTCCCGGTCACGCGGGTGCCCCGGAAGCGCCAGGAGCGGCGGCGGGCGGGAGTGGAGCAGGAGCGGACCGCGCCCATGTCGGGCTTCGACACCAACCCGTTCGCCGACCCGGTGGACATCAACCCCTTCCAGGTGGGCGCGGGTTGCGGGCGGCCTCCCCCTGCGCGGCCCAGCCCGGCCGGGGCCCCGTGCCCCGCACGCCGGGACGTGGCACTGAGTGAAGCGCCGCCGGCCAATGGCAGAGCCGCTCCTCTGCGCTTCGGCCAATCAGAGAGAGGGGGCGGGACCAGGGGGGCGTGAGGCGGCCGCGACCCCCGGCCCTGAGGGCGGCCTGGAGCCGAGCCAGGGGTCCCGCTCCCTGTCCCCGGTTGCCCGCGGGTCACGGTCCCAGCTCCGCCGCTCTCTGCAGCCCCAGCCCCCTGCGCCGCCACGGCCGGGGGTCCCGAACCCCTTCCGCAGCGCTGTGACCCCCCCGGTCCTTCCTGCTGTGACCCCCCGGGCCCTCCTGCTGTGTCCCCGCACCCGGCTGCTCTCACCTCGAGGGGGGTTCTCCCACCCAGCTGGGAATGCCTGCTCCGAGGGTTTATTAAAAATAATCCACCGCTGGAGCTCTCTCGGCCGTGCTGCACGGTGGGCTGGTTGTCCGCTGTGTCTCTCTGGGTTTGTTTTTAAGGCGCTTCAGCTTTAAAGTGAGTTCCCGTGGCACAGCTGTGGATTTCATGGCTCAAAGCAGAGGATTGCTGTTAAGGTCACTGAGGACTTTGTGTGTGCTCGCTGGGTTTCTCCTCTCTGGGATTAACCTCTGGAAATTGGGGTCACTGATGCAGGGAGCTGGCCTGGCACGGCCTCTGTGTGACAGCCAGGGTCTGGAGCCCAGCCTCACCTCCGCTGCCTGCCTGGGATGTGAGCCATGGGAAGGAGTGCTTTCCTGACCTTGGATCTCAGGGCTGAGCCAAACAGAAGTTGTTTGTTGATAGAGCTGAGTCTTTTGAGGAATCAGAGTGAAAAAATTCTTTCTCTTCTTCCTCACTTTCATTTTGACATGGTCCTGTGACTCTCAGGAATGGGGAGAGTTGGGATGATCGTGTTCCTCTGATGTTCATTCTGGGGGATGGAATATATTGCTGTTCATGGACATGGGATTTCTTGCTTTGGCTTTGAGGAAGTAAATATTCCTAGAATCAAAGAGTGGTTTGGGTTAGAAGGGAAATTAAAGCTCATCCAGTCCCACTCCCTGCCATGGTCAGGGACACTTCCACTGTCCCAGGCTGCTCCATAC